CCCTTTTTCCAATTTCTTTTTTTTTTTCATTTATCAAAATTTACTAACATACTTAATTGTCAAATTTAAAATTCAAATTCAAATTTTCAAATTTGAATTGGATAAAAAATTTCCCATATTGTGCAAACCATAATACTAGAAAAATTTATGTGCATATTACATTTAAAAAAATTCCTTCTCTTTTCTTCAAATTATTGTTACGAAGAAAATCAACAAATAATACCACTTTTCCTTGGTGGGGTAATTATTTCCACCAAATTTATTATAACTAATTAACTATGATTCAGGCCCTGGTTTGTAATAATAGTGTTTTTATTTTTGCGGATCTTAGGATAGAGAACAGTAACGGATTTAAGATTTTTATTATAATAATATAATTTTAGATAAATTTATTAAATTGTCAGTAAAAAGTGTATTTTTTCGAGTTTTTTATTTTTAAAATTTTAAAATGTTCAAGGAAAATTTTAAGAATATTTTATAAATATTTTTCTTTAAAATTTTTTATTTTTTAATATTTGAGGTGTTTATGAACTCTCTTTGACAAACAATGGATCTCTGCTTGACCGAAATATGTGAGATATTATTATTATTAGATTTATATTTATATATTATATATTATTAATGTATACATTTTATATATTATTTATGAATTAAATAATCTCATATTATTAAAATTAAATGATATAATTTTTTTAATGAATAAATTTTTTTAAAAATATTAATTTTTATATATCTATTTTAAAAATTAAAATTTATTTATATATAAAATATTATTATCTGATTTATTAATAATATATAAAAATTTTACATTAATAATTTATTAAATATTAATTTATTATTATTATTATTTATTAAAAAATTATTTTTATTTTTATTATTATCCAATAGATTGTTGCCATGTAGTATGGCAGTAATATCAGCTGTCATGAAAGCTCTGCAACTCTCTGCTATTACATCATGTGTTTTCATAGAAAAGTCAGTGTTCTTGTTTTTGGTTAGTACTTATTAAGTAATAAGCAAAGAAGAAAATTTTTCCTTTTTTTTTTTTTTTTTTATGGGAGTCTGAATTTTGTGGATATGGTCCTTGTTATAAAGGCCCAATTTTTTTCAGTAGACAAAGCCCATTGGTGAGTAACAAGGCCCAATAATTGTCGAGTCCCTTGGAAGTTCAAATGAAAAGCTAGAAATACTTTACCAATACAATAATAATACAAAAATTTTGAGAAAATATATAATCATGTAGCCAAAAAAATACAGTGATTTTGATAGATTTAATAATTTGTGTATTTATATCATATTATTTTATATAAAAAATATATAAATTATTGGATCACATTTATATAAACACATCAAACACAAAATATATTTTTTATTTTTATTAAATTTATAAATGATTTTTGTTAAAATTTTAAATTTTTATATCATTTTTATATAGTATTACTTATTATATTTAAAATTATTAAAATATTATATATAAATTTGGATATATTTAAAAAAAATGAAGTCTAAAATAAACTTTTTTTTAAGGCATGCCAAATGAATTTCTCTTTTTTTAAAAATAAAAGATGACATTGTCAATGAAAAGATCCAAGCTTAGGTTGGAGTGTATGGCATCATGTTTTGGCCCATACCCATAGGCCATAGCCATCATTTTCATTCTTCATTTTCCAAAGTTCTCAACATGGTAGGTCCTTCTTGTTCTTGTTTTTATGTTTGCCAAAGCTTCTTCTCCATGAATACGCCAATCTCCATTTTTTTATCCCATTTTGCTTCTATGTTTTGCCAATCATCACTTTCCTTGCACCAAAAACATCCTCTCTAGCCAGCCAATCTTTATCATTTTTGTTGTTTTTGAATGTTTTTCTACACTAATTTCTTTCTATTTTAAATGGATAATTGTCAATAAAATTAGGATAATTAAATTAATTAAATTTAAGTTAATTCATGTTTTTATATTCGAACATTTGATTTAACGGTTAATACATTTTTTTTGTTCAAAGATTAGGGTTTCAATCCCTTTTTTACCAAATCAAATAAAATTAATCCAAATTTATACTTTGAAATGATATTTAGCTTATGTTTATATTGAATAAAATAAAAGACGGGAAAGGGAAAAGAATTGAAAATACCTTTCCTTGCCTTTCCTTTATTTGAATTTCGTCTAAATTAAAATAAAAGAAAGAAAGAGATACTTAGCCTCCCTTACTTTCCGTCAACATTCTCTCATTTTTTATTCTCTCATTTTTAAAAAATTAAAAAATCTTGAGATCTTTGATTAATTCTATATTTTATAATAAGTTTTTAGAATATATTTGAATTTTTACAATTAAAAAATATTGTATATTATTTTACATTTTAATTTAATATTTTATCAAAAAATTTTAGTCTGACATTATATGTTATTTTATAACATGAAAGATATAATTAAAATCAAGAAATACATAAATGATATATCCTTTTATTTTAAAATTTTTCATTAATATTTAGTCAAATATAACGTTTTCAATTCATTGATTTCCACAGCGGAATTGCAATGCAAATAGAGTTGGGGGAGGGCTACTTAATTTTCTGTGGGCCTTACTTTATGATGGTCCAATTTCTACAGGCCTCATGGTCGAACCCATTGGAGAGATGGTTTCCAAGTTTGGAACTAAGCTGTAAAATCGACCCAACCATTGTGGAATCAAGTGGGAAAATGTGCGCCCTGGCCTGCCTTCGCCTTATTGGTTATCAGCTGTCAGCTCACCTCTTGCAACAGAATAAAAACAGAAGTACAAAAGTAATTTAAGAGGTGTAGTCAAGTTAGTCAATTGGTACGGATATGATTGAGTTTGGCTTAATTCGAAATTTTGGAGTTTGAAGTTTAATTGGATAAAGCTTTATATTTTATATTCGAATTTGATTTATAATGTTTTTAATTGGTTAGAATTTAATTTAATAAACTCGATAAAATCATAAATACATATATTTATATTAAATTTTAAAAATAAAAAATCAATTTAATTTGTGAACTTTTTAAATCAAGTATTAAAATACTTAAATATAAGTTAATTAATTACTCAAATACATCAAATTCGAACACAACTTTATAATTAATAAGTTAAATTCAAGTATTCATTGAATCAAATTTGATTATCTTAATTCATTTACATATGTAAGCAGACATGTGAAGCTATACAGAATTAATATATTTTTCAAATAAAATTGTGTAGATCATAGATTATATACAAAGATCATTGACTTGAAACTTCAATAATCTTCTAATGTGTACTAATTAGTTCATCCATTATTGTTGAATTGCAAAGTACAGTGTCTTAAAGCATTTGTCTCCTTGTTTTAAGAGAGAGACATTTTTTTTTATTTAAAAACTCTTATCCAAGTAAATGATTGAAGAATTTATTAATCCTAAATCCACTTTCCTCTATCATGTTCATTAGATTCAATTAAAGGCTTTCTACCTTTGCATTTATTTTAATGATTTTTAGTCCAAAAAGCTTTAATTTCCAGCACCAAAGCCATGTGCAAATCCAACTTGTTTTGGTCAATAGCAAAGAAACCAACATAATAAATTGAAGAAAAAAAATATCAATTCAACAAAACTTTGATTAGCATGCCATTAAATGCTTAACAATTTCTTAAGCTCAAATTATTCACACTACATGACCACAACTAATCACAATCATTGGGAGTCAATTTATACTTATATACATAGACAAATTAAATGAAGCAATTACCAAGAAGTAGAACCTGCCCTAGATATGAGTTTGGGAGTTGAGATTTGATTCGATTCAAATTAATGTTTTAATAAATAAAAAATTAATTTTAATTTTAATTTAACTTCAAAAATATATAAAATATTAATATAAAAATAATATATATTTTTTAATATTTTAATTTTTTTTAACAAAAATAGAGCTTTGTTCGGGCGTGATGTTTTGCCTTGAGTTGATTTTTGAGCAATAGATTTCGACGATCAATCGAATTTGACTGAATTTAGACAGATCCATTGTGAAGGCAATTTTGAAAAAAAAAAAAGATATGGGTATAAGAGTGAAACATTTAAGTAACATATTTAATTAATGAATTAATTAAAAGGTAATGGTTGTAGATTTAAAGCACTACAACATGTATGCTAATAAGTAATAACATTTTAATTATCATCTTTGATTGGTAATTTTTTTTAGTACTAATTTAAAAAAAAAAATTGACTGAAAAATTGCCAATTATCTTTAATTATCATCTTTGATTAGTAATTTTTAATACATTTATCAGAACCGTTCATATTTATATAAATTTTAATTATAAAGCAAAAGTCGTATCGAGACATAGATGTATGGGATAATATTATTTATAAAAAAAGAATTAAAAATATATAACATTTAAAAGTTTAATAATGGGAAAAATATTTCATAAAGAAGAGAGAAAAAATTAATTCCTGACTTCAAAGAGTAAATTTCTTCATTGGCCACCAGAGCAATCAATAGTAAGTATTTACCAAAAAAAGAACCAAAAAATTTATACTTTTCCATTATTTGCATGCTTTGAATATTCTAAAGCTCCTCGTAGTCATAACCTTAGTACTAATATTTGTACTTTTACTGATTAGATTCTTAAAAACAAAAAAAAAAACAGTGAAAATCAGCTCTTTCCCTTTCAAAATTTCCAAGATTCAATTTAAAACGTTTTAATCCTTAAAATTTTTTTTCTGCATTTGATAACAGTTACAGAAAATTAACTTTTTTATTTCAACAATAAAAAAAATTGAATCTTGGAACATGCCCAATGTGCACCCTTTGGGAAATTCATAGCATTCATTTGAATCTAATCAACAATGAAATAAGAACACAAAAGAAAAAAATGTTGGCGTAATTGGTTTCATATCTACCTTTACACCTCATGACAACCAATCACAATCATTGGAGATTGTGAAAACTATTAAATGCTATAAATGTCAACACCACTCTCTAATTTTTAGGATTCTTTGGGAAATTCAGGAGATATTTTGGGATCTAGATATCTTGAGTTATGTTCTTATTACTGTTAGTTTAGTCTAGTTCAGTCTTAAAAGTCTCATTTTAGAATTCTGTTGTTTAAGTTACTGGAGCAAACTTCAAAGTGACTTGCTTTTTGTTGTTGTCGTCGTCGTCGTTTCTGTGTTTTTGTTTTGTTTTGTCTGTTTCGTACTTTCATTGTGTCATTTGACTTGTCTTTTTCTCTTTCTTTCTCATTTTTCGGTTAAAGTTTCACATTTTTACTGTACTCCATTTTCTTGGATTCCAAAGGGTTCCATCTTTATAAAACCCAGAGATTGTTTTCATTAATTCTTGATTGATTACGGTTCAAGCTTACATTTTTACAAAACCCCATGTTATAGGATTCACCAAAATTGCCATCATTGAAAACCCAGAAGTGTTTTTGGATTAGTGATTCTGGGTTTTGCTTGTTTCTGTGACTTCTTGATTGGATCATTAATGGGTCAGTCAAGTTTCATTGTTTTTTCCTTTGTGCTTTTGTTTTGCTGTACTCTTTTTTATTCTTCTTTTGGAGATCAAAATTTGGATAAAATCACTGAGTTACCTGGACAGCCAAAGAATGTTGAGTTTAATCAGTATTCAGGATACGTGACTGTAAATGAACAAGCTGGAAGGGCATTATTTTACTGGTTGATTGAGTCACCAGTGAATCGTAGACCTGAGACAAGACCACTTGTTCTCTGGCTCAATGGCGGACCTGGTTGCTCTTCTGTTGCCTATGGAGCAGCTGAAGAGATAGGTCCTTTTCGTATTAGGCCTGATGGAAAGACTCTTTACTTGAATCCTTATTCTTGGAACAACTGTAAGTCTTCTATGATCTTTTGCTTTTGTTTTTCTTCTATCTGTTTCCTGTCTGAATTTCATTTAAGATTGTTTTCTTTGAATTGTTGTCAGTGGCAAATTTGCTATTCCTTGAATCTCCAGCTGGTGTTGGTTTTTCATACACAAACACGACATCAGATTTATACACTGCTGGTGACAGGAGAACTGGTAACTTATTTGTTTGTAAATTGTGTTGCTTTAGATTCTAAGAAAGTTGATTTTGATATCTTTAGATGTTTTTGGGATCTGGGTGTTGTAAATTTGCAGCTGAAGATGCATATGCTTTTTTGGTTAATTGGCTCGAAAGGTTTCCACAGTACAAGCATAGAGATTTCTATATTGCTGGAGAAAGTTATGCAGGTGTTGCTTCAATCCATTTTCAGCTGTAATTTTTCACTTGATTAGTTGGAGCCTGGAGGTTGAATTTAAAGGCCAATATTTTTGGTTAATTACTTTCAGGTCATTATGTTCCTCAGTTGTCTCAAATTGTTTATGAAAGAAACAAAGGGGTTCAGAATCCTGTTATCAATTTCAAGGGATTTTTGGTGAGAATGAGTTATTGATGAGAAAATTTTTTATGACATGGTAGCAATTTCAATTATGGGAAAATGACTTCTGTTTTCTGTCATTATACAGGTTGGAAATGCCGTTACTGATGACTACCATGATTATGTTGGCACATTCGAGTACTGGTGGACTCATGGTTTGATATCCGATTCCACCTATAGAAGATTGCGAGTTTCCTGTGACTTGGGATCCTCTGCACATCCATCCTTGCAGTGCATGATTGCTCTCAGAGTTGCTGAAGTGGAACAAGGAAATATTGATCCATATAGCATCTTCACACAACCTTGCAAGGATATTGCAACTTTAAGACGCAATATGAGTGGTCATTATGTAAGTTTTCATCAATCTTTTTTAACTATGAACACAAAAATTGCACTTTTCTAGCAATCTCAATTATGAATCTTCGCAGCTTTCTAGCAATGTTGTTTATTTCTAACCTGGCACAGTTTTACATGAACCAGATATATTCAAAACCTATCTTCACATTCAGTCTTGTTTCTTTTCTAGTTTATATAAGGAGTTTTTGTCAACGGAATTTGGATATCTTTTATAACATTTAATATATATGCAACTATTCTGATGATAGTTTGAATCGAGTTCAGATGACAGTTTGTCCCGGAAAGGATGAGAATTGGACTGAAAGAAGCATGTCTTTCATGTGTATGATCATAGTAATATGCAGTTAAGCTGAATCATTTACATAAAAAGCCGGTTATTGTATTCTGCATGTGATGTTTATAGATAATTTGTGATTCATTATAGAAAACAAACACATCAAGTAGAATTTGTATCTTTCTGAAAATTGTGAGAACTTTCATACCAAGACTGGTTTTCTAGTGGGACTTGGCATTAAATCTGTGGACTCATCTCAGATGTTACATTCTCTGTTCAATGATGTTACATCATGAGTGTGGAGAGTTGGTGCTACTGCTTCTGGCCTCACCTTCCACTCACAGCATTTCTTTCCTCCTCATCTTCTTCTTAGCACGCTTGTGGCCCGCCTAATCCATACAAAGATCATGGAGGGCTGTCGGTAGGCATAATTTGGTTGACTAAAAGCTTCAATTGACAGCTGTGGACCATATGGTGTTCTCCTGTTAAAGTTGGTGCACTCAATAATGAGATAAAAAATAAAAAGAGGCACATGATTCACATTTAACATTTTATGGCCATGGAGTACAGTTGTATAGTGATGAGACAACAGCATATCTACTTTTTTGATTGTTATACCTTCACAGATTTTAGTTATCGGTGCTTGCAAATTTTCTACATTTGAAATCTTCAACTAAACTTGACTTCTCAATATAATTTGTGAACATAATTCATATGCATGTAGTATCTAAAGCATTGAATTTAGATTCAAATATTAAATGCGAATATCTGAACCCCTTGAATTTTCATTAAACTTTTTCTTTTCTTTTCCCTCTATGCTAAATTTTCTGTCTTTCCCAACTGTAAATGGTATTAATTTCAGTGGGATATGAATTTTCCCTGAGCTGACATTTGTTATGAATGCAATGTCTATTACTGTGAATATGATCTCGTTTTATAATTTAACGAACTGTTTGAGTGGAATTCTTTGTCCATTTTTTCCTTTCCAATCCCCCAATTGACCTTGTCTTGTTACTTAATTGCAGCCATGGATGTCAAGAGCTTATGATCCATGCACTGAGAGGTATTCTAAAGTGTACTTTAATCTCCCAGAAGTCCAGAAGGCACTTCATGCAAATGTAACTGGTATTTCTTATCCATGGCAAACATGCAGGTGGGAAATTTGATCCGTAGATTTTGAATAATTTCTTTTAGATATCTAGTAGCATTGATTGTTTAAAAAATCTTTGTTTTACAGTAATATCGTTGGAAATTACTGGGCGGATTCTCCTCTCTCTGTGCTTCCTATATACAAAGAACTAATTGCTGCTGGTCTTAGGGTATGGGTTTACAGGTAAGTTTCTCTCTTTCTTTTTGTTTATCTTCACAAAGATTGGAAAGTTGTTTTTTATTTGCTTTAGAAGTAGTCAGTGAGACTTGCTCTTTCATGTGGAATTTATTGTAGCAACAATTAAGAATTTTGTGACTGGCAAATGTTGAAGCTGCAGCTTGGGGATAAGCGAAGGGGCTGCAGGTGATAGGATTTGAATCCCAAACCTGTTGGATGTCACCTCTTAGGGTGATTTCATGAATCAACTGAACTAACTCTGAGTTCTACTTTTGCCTCTTAGCTTTCCTGTGATTTTGTGTCTGCCACCCCCTTTTTAATCCCATAGGGTGCTAAAATATCTGAATTTGACTGAGTCCCGGAGGAAATTTTATGGTTGTTACTCAAAGAGTTAATTATCCATGATATGGTTAGATTCCTTTGTAAATTTGCCATATCATGCTCCTCAGAAGGGCTCCATTACTATAGGATGTAATCCCCATTGATGTTCCCCACCTTTCTTTGTTTGACTAAGTTGGTGGGGCTTGCCTTAAACCCGACCTCTGATATTCTGTGAGTTATGAGGAGGTTAGGCCCAAAGATGGTCGTGTTTTGTCCTGGAAATTGATAAAACTTTCACATGTTGATGTACGGTACCTTTGCCAACGGTCCCAGTTCTCAGTTCTCAATAAAGTTGATTCTTTGAGTTGTTTATTGTACTTTTTTCTGTTTGGATAGGAGGAAATCTATCGTGAATTCAAGAAAAGGACATTACTGGATTATAATCGGGGACAATTGTAAGGCAAAGAGAAGATAGCCTAATATAAAGTTCATGTTAATGTTAAATGTATATGATTAACTACAATTTCTGATAGACAAAGAAACCGGCTCAAAGTGTACTTTCTTAAATTTTGTTAACTGTCTGAAAAATGCTTTAAGTGGGACTATGAAAACCGGGATTCATTTTAGCTAAGTTTCCAGTGGTGATAACTTGAACGGCTTGCTATTCCATCTAGAATAAGAAGCTGTTACTATTTTTCTACATGGGATTTTGCTGATATTTGGTCTGATTGAACTCTTTCTCCAGTGGAGACACTGATGCAGTAGTTCCTGTGACTGCAACTCGATACTCCATTGATGCCTTGAAGCTACCTACTGTTACCAATTGGTACCCTTGGTATGACAACGGGAAGGTGAGTACCGATGAACTGAGACATTTACTATTAACAGAGTCCTTGACTCTTCGATGCTGTTATAACATCGAAAACTTTTATCGGAGTTTTGGGTCAGTGGATACTGTTGAATACAGATGTTGCATATTCTTCTGTTAAGCTCAACAACAACAATATCATTAAACAAAGAGGTTCCATCGTCTTCGTTATAATGCTCTTACAACATGAATACCATATCGTTTACTCTTAAAATCAAGATGGCATATTCAGGCTAGTGATCCACTAGATGTTAATCTGACTCAATCTCTTATTTTTTGAATCCAGGTTGGTGGGTGGAGCCAAGCATACAAAGGGCTGACATTTGTGACAGTAACCGGAGCAGGTCATGAGGTACCACTCCATCGCCCCCGGCAATCATTCATACTTTTCAGATCATTCTTGGAGAACAAGCCAATGCCAAGTTAAAAAGAAAAAAATCTGGTAATACTATTCATTCCCCTTGATGAATAAGCGAAAGAATTACAGATTTGTTCATATACCGGGCCACAAAAAGAAGTCGTAAAAAGAGAAAGCATTCTTCTTGAGTGCCCTTCCATTTTTGCATACTCTGCTTCTTTTCCTGGAAAGGAAAAGCAGAGAGATTTGGTGTTTGAATTAGAATAAACTTTGCCAAAGTGTAGAATATTTGTATGAAATCTATTCTTTATAGGACTTCAATAATTGAAACTGCAAATGTTGTCTAAAGCAAGTTCTGATTGCCTGGTATCGTAGAACTGTAATTTTTTTGAATGAAATATATTCTTTATTGCATGGATAATAAAAATGTTCATGCTCTTAATATTATTTTATCTATATTTGGCAATTTATGTATTCTTGTTGAATCTATTTCATGTTAAATATGTATAAAATACGAAAATTACTTTATCACAATTCATATTGACAGTCAAATAAGAAACATATATTTTTTTATCTTTACCAAATTTATATACAGTTTTTATTGAAATTTTAAATTGTATCGTATTTAAAATTATCTTCTTTTTTATTACTATAAGTTTGATAAATATCATTAAATGCAACTTCCCATTTGATCTTTCCTTTTTTAGGTAGTTTAGTTGTTTGTTGTTGACTGAACAAATAAACCAAAACATCAATGTCTTACCTAATTTTATCTTAACCTTTATTTTTAATTTTATCAATTTCAATATTCATTCAAGTGGATCTTAATATATCTCATAAGTAATGAGAAAGGAAAAAGAAAAGAATAATTTTAGTGATTAAAAATTGTTAATAATTTTTCTATAATTGTGATCAATGATTAGCAAAGAATATCCAATGACAAGAAACTTTGGTGGAATCTTTTTCTATCTATGGAATTTCTGGTGGAGCCCTAAAGAGAATCATAAAGGCATTAAACAAAAGAATGTTGGAGAAGATAAAAGGAGGGAGAGCCATCCATTCATACATTCTATATCCACCTAAAAGATAAAACACAACAATTCTGGGTCCTGATCATGCTTTGAAAACAAGCAAAAAATTGGGTCCATTCATTAAAAAGCAGCTTCTTATTCAAAGTATATTTTGCAATTTACCAAAATGCCTGTTTTTGTGCCATTTCTTGACGAACAATTATTATTTTTTTAAAATATTAATTTTACTGAAATTTCAATTCTCATGATATTGTGTGCAATAAATTTTTTGCAATTTACCAAAATGCCTGTTTTTTGTGCCATTTCTTGACGAACAATTATTATTTTTTAAAAAAATTAATTTTACTGAAATTTCAATTCTCATGATATTGTGTGCAATAAATTTTGTCAAAATTTATTTTATAAAAGAGTTCGTAGTCTAAAAATTAAAAATAATTATAAATGTTAAAACTTAAATTTTAAATTTGTTAAAGATGATAACTTGTTATACTTGTTTATTGAAATAACAAGATCTATTATCTTAATCGTCTAATCAACACGTTCAATTGTTATGTCATTATTAATAAGGATCAACATCTAGAATCCTCACCTTAGAATTAGCTCGTTTCTCATCAAAGAAGGGCTCGGACGATACATCCATTGATGTCCCATCAAAATATTATATCGAACATTTGATTTTCAATTTATTTGAAATCATTAAATATAATTTATATTTATCTGAAATCATTAAATATAATTTATAATTACTCACGTGAATCTTATTCTAACTTCATATAGACTTACTATTAATTATTAATTATTCAGTTAAATTACTGCTCTTCATTTCATATATAAGATAAAAAGGAGAGTTAATTACTTAAGACTTAAGCATTCTTTCCATTATTGTTTTCTCAACATATTTCGCCTTTTTCCTCATCAAATTATATATACCTTTTGAAACGCATCCCAAAAAATTAACTTCGGCATCTCTTAACCATGCTTTCTGACTATAGGTCCTGGTTTCTTCATTTCCAACCTTTGACCAGCTTCCATATAGTTAAAACATCCAAAAATACCATCATACTGAACTACCCTAATTTCAGTTTCGTCGAATTTTGTGTTGATTTATAAGTTTATTTGTTTGACTTATACATGATTTCTTCTAATTGATTTCGTAATGAATATTATTTCTTTTTCCATGCAAAATCAACCATATTTACTTGTTACTCTCCTGATAATTGATATCATTGCCATAGGAAAAGAAAAAAATATAAATCCAAATAGACACATAATTGTAATTATAATTTCTACATATAATTTAAAAAAAAAAAAAAAACTTACAGTTGTTTAGTCTGTTTCTATCATTTATTCCTTGCTTGCCTCGGGCAATGCATTGTGAATTTGATGCTTTTAGCAAGACCAGCTGTTTTTTCTCAATTTGATTTTGGTGATGCCTTTGGAATCTCAAACTGAACCATGCAGTGATTAGGAGAAGAGGATTTTCAGAATCATCCTTTTCCATATGCTTTTTTGGGGATAAACTTCTTAAATATGAGCTTCAAGTGAATATGTACCTCTTAAAAATTGTTGACGTATTTTCTGGAATGGTGATTAGGAGCTTGTTGGAAGAGGGAAAGATGAATTGGATGTTTGTGTGATCTGTCAAATATATATATATATATATATATATATAAAGGTGTCGGATTTATTTTTTCAAAATGTGTTTTGATTTTTAAATTAATAAAGTTTAAATATGAAAATAATACATGTATTATATATATTTTTATCAATTTTATATTTAAAAAAATTGTCAATTTGATATTTAAATTTTCATTCCATCATCACTTTAGTATTTTCAGACTAACGTTTTTATTTGCTGAAGTGACATAAATAACTAATAAGAAATTTTTTAGATTTTCTAAGGATTTTTTTATGTTTTAAGTTTTCATAATTTTTTATTTTTTAAAAATATTTCAGTTTTATACTTTTTTTTATAATTTTTAAAAAAATTCATATTTTAAAAGTTTTTTTAAATTTTTGTGATTTTGTTAGAAACTTTCTTTTAATGTTGACATAGTAATTAATGATGTAATACTAAGTAAACTTTTTTTACATGTATCAATATTTTATTGGATATTCATATCATGCAAGTAAATTGATTGATAGTGTTAGTGTTAGGTACTAAATGGATAATAGAATAAAAATTGGAGTATTACATTGATAATTTTATTTCTTTAAATACTAAATTGATAAAAAATGTATAGTCCATAGGCTACTTTTATATTTAACCCAATTAACAAAGTGCAAAAGTAGACGGAGCAGGTTGGAAATGAGGATGGAAGATTCAATATGAGTTATATGTGATCCAACCCTTTTGTTTTATACTAAGTTTGCGTTGATGTGATTAGTTAACTTATATTAATTAAATGTTATGCCGATTGAGTTAATGGATGCTGATTTTAAAGTTAAGATATCCATCGAACGATTAAAATATTTTAAAAATCATAAATTGATTTCGAGAACTTGATACTAGATCACACTAAGAAAAATAAATAAAGTTCCTTAATCACTAAGAAGTATAGATTAGTCACTTTCAGCAGACATGAAATAAATAAAGTTTGTGATTAAACCCTAACACAGGGAAAAGCAAATTTAGAAGAGCATGGGAGGTAAACATGTTGATTTCTTGAAGGCTTTTTGGGAACTTAAAAAAAGGAAAAGCAAAGCAGCGCATACCACCAATTAAACAAAAGATAAAGAAGAGAAAAGTTGAAGAAGACACCATATAACAAGAAAAGAAGCAAAACCCCAAAGAAAGATAAAGATAAAGATATATACCAGTAAGTAGAGAAGAAGAAAGCACTTCCATTGATGCAAAAAAAAAAAAAACCCAAAAAAAAGAAAAAATTTTTTTACAGCGAACTATTAAGAAGATGTATAGGTTTAGCAACACTGCGATAGGTTTCTTGAATTTTTTCACACTGTTAGCATCGATACCGATCATCGGAGCCGGTTTATGGATGGCAAAGAGTAGCACAACCTGTGAAAGTTTCCTTCAAACACCACTGCTTGTATTAGGTTTTGTTATATTGATAATTTCATTGGCAGGTTTCATTGGGGCTTGCTTTAATGTGGTGTGGGCACTTTGGGTTTATCTGCTTGTCATGTTGTTTATCATTGCTGCTTTAATGGGATTGACTATATTTGGATTTGTGGTCACCAGCCAAGGTGGTGGGGGGGCAGTTCCTGGTAGGGTTTACAGGGAGTATAGGTTGGAAGATTATTCACCTTGGTTGAGAAATAGGATCAAGGATCCTCGGTATTGGAATACTATTACAAGTTGCTTGTTGAATTCCAGGACTTGTGCCAAAGTTGCCTTCTGGACTCCTCTTGATTATCTCAACAAAGACATGACCCCAATCCAGGTAATCAGATTTTTTTTTTCATGCAATCATCCTTAATAGATGATATTTAGTAAGTCTGAATTTTGAATCCTAGCACTTAGTAGTCTTTTATCTTATTCTCAAACTGAAGCCTCTTATATACCAAAAAAATAAAAAAAAGAAAAAAAAATATTAATATAAAACCTAAAAATTAATTCAATTGGTTCATATAACCATTTAGAAAAAGTAATATCTAACATATTTGTAGTTAAAATCTTTACATTTGCAACTCTTTCTTTTTATTTTCAGACTAAGACTTATTTTTGTAAAAGAAAAAAAAAACTAATACAGAACTTAATATTATTATTGAAATTTTTTTGTTTTGGGTGCAGTCTGGTTGCTGTAAGCCACCAACATCATGCAATTACAACATGGTGACAACAGTAGCCCAAAACCCAGATTGCTACAGATGGAACAATGCTCCCACCATGCTTTGCTATGGGTGTGATTCATGCAAAGCTGGGGTGCTTGAATCTGTGAGAAGGGATTGGCACAAACTCTCAGTTCTTAACATTGTCATGCTTTTGCTGTTGATTGGGATTTATGCTATTGGTTGCTGTGCTTTCCAAAACACTAAAAGGGCTGAAACTGATTACCCTTATGGCCGAAACCGGATGTCCAAAGTTAGACCTAGATGGGATTACTTCTGGTAAGTAATAAATTTGCTATATATTCTCTTTTTTTTTTTTTTTTAATTTCTTTTGTTTATCTTTGAAGGCAAATTAGAGAAAAAAAGAGTTTATTTAAAAAAAACCATAATTTGAGAATAAAAAAATTATAAAAATTAAAATATGAATCTTAAACTTATCAAGTGTTAGCTTGTGAATAATTATATGAGTTAAGACGAAACCTTGAGTAAAAAAAAAAAAAATTATTGATCATAAGTGAATTAAAAGTAATTTACCAAAAAAAAAAAAGGAGAAAATTACACATTTAAGAAACTTAAGTTTCTTTTTTTTTTTAATGATTATAACGTTTATATAATTTAATTTTATGCAGGAGTTGGGTAGGCATTAATTTGTTTGATTTAATCTATTACCGTATTTTCCCTTTCTTATAACAATTCCATTTTTGGGCCTAGTAGAACTTAACCAGAACAGAACATGGGTCCATTTCATTAAAAAAAAAAAAGAAAGGGCTAAGTTTAAAGTAGGCCCATAAATATATGACCGATTGTAGTAAATCATAATTCTTCGAACTTTGTTTCTGGCAGCTGCAGATGGTGGCATGACAGAAAACAGCAGCTTTACTAGCAGACTCCACTTTTCCCTTTTTTTTTTTTTATTATTTTTTTATTTTCCTTAAAACTTTCTTGGATTTATTTTGTAATGGTTGTGTACAGATCTATGGAATTGCAACTTTTTTTTTTGCATTGTTTCTATGGTTGCTTTTTTTTTTTTGTAAAAAGATGGGTTGAATTTATTTTTTTTTACAAGAAATGGCTTAATTTATATATATTTAGTATTTAAAATTGTTACAAATAAAATTTGATATTTAAAATTAAAAATATAATTTTTATTAATAAATCACACTATTGTTGAAAATTTAATTTTTTTTCAAATACAAAAGTATCTTATCCTTAATATTATTGAGAGGATTGTTTCAAACTTTATACTTTCTTTTGACATTAGTGCAACTTATAATGAATACACTAGGCTCCAGCATATGCGCCTTATTATCAAATGGGCACATATGCTTAGTTGTATTTTCAACCTTTAAATTTTTTTTTCTTTCCAAGATTGTGGGGGTTAAGGCTTGGATTTGTTGGTGTAAAATTTTAATTGATTGCAATAAAATAATAAGGATTTGACTGATTATTTAATTTTAAATCAATTATATTTTTTATATTTATATCTAAAAGTTTTATATTCTATTTTTTCTTTTTAAAATGGAAAAATTCATTTATACTTGCTTTAACTTGGAATGGAAAAAATAATACTTTAATCAGTTCCATTTGATTGTGCTTGATTTGTTAAATAAATTAAGCTAAAGTAACAATACAAGAATAATTTCATTTTATCTCAAGCTCAATTCTATGCTATCCACATTAAAAGCTCATTTAACAACATGATAAAAAATTTTTTCACTGTAGTGTGATATCATTTTAAAAATTTAATTATAAAACATAATTGTAATACAAAAAAAAAAAAATTCCAATCACACTATCAAAAGAAATCTTAATTAAAAAATGCTAATTGTTCGTTGAATCGTTTCATCTGACGTGGCATTTTGTCATTGACAAAAGTCTTAGTTAAAAAAAAAAAAGTCATCTTGGTCTTTGAAGAATATTTATAACCAAAAGCCAAGATGCTAACCCTCTTTTTTTTTCCCCTCAATCACGGCCATTACCCCTCCAGTTGATTAGGAAAAAAAAAAAAAAGACATTGACCCTAATTGTTTTTTGCTTCCCTGGTTTGGCCTTTAACTAGATTCCATAAAAAAAATGGAGATATGTGGCTATTGTTGAGCTTTCTAATTCAAATTTATTCTCAAGTTTCAGCTCCAATTTTCAAATGGTTAAGAGTACCGATATTTCTCTTTTTTTTTATTTTTATTTTCAAATGGTGTCAAATAATTACGAAATCATATGTAGCCATTGATTTTTATATATATATATATATGTATATGTATATTCATGCCATAAAGTCGAAAGTCAATGCTTTGGTTGCAATGACTTTGAGGTACTTAATTTAATTAATTAGTATTAAGATAGTATTGATATGACAATTAGTCTAATCTTCATTTTATTATATGGAAGTGTGATACATAAAGATACGTTTTTATTGACAAAGCTATAAGTATATAGTTCTTTAATTCCTCCCTAACTATCAAATATATAAAAAAAACTAAAATCTAAAACAAATATACAAAACTAAAGATAATATATACATGCTTTTGCAAATTGACTTTTTAAATTTTCTTTTTAAATTTCTTTTGATTGATACTTTTATTATTTATTTTTTATAAAAATAAAAACAAATTGTTGATTACTACAGCAGAAATTTAATTAATTTGATATGGGCTATGGGCATGCTACCATTCTTGTCCACTGACCTAATCTTCTACATATTTTTGGTGAAAAATATTTACAATTTGGACAGATTATTTGACCTTTGGGATAATTAACTTGCAATTGGATGCCTCTTTGGGAGATATGATAATTTGAAGATATACATTGGGCTTTCCTCCAATCAAGGAAAAATGAAATAAGATTTTGCAATACCAAAGATCCCAATATATATATATATATATATGTATTTATTTATTTATAAAAAAAACGTAATCTGAAAATAGAAAAAAATTTAAATATTAAGATTTGAGTTCAAATTTTTTAGACATTAACTCTTAAAATAATTGTATAAACTAATTATATTAAGTTTCGGATTTTTCAATATATTTAATATTAGGAGTAATCTATCTTATTAGATATATATTATTTATTAAAGCATTCAAACTTTGATTGGAAAAGAAGAAGCCTTCAAACTTTGTACTAAGAAAACCTATGAACAAAGTTAAAGAAAAGAAAAAAAAGGAGAAAAGCGTATGAACAATTTATCGAAAATTTTACATCCACATGATCTTTTAATATTCTTTATATTTTGATTGTATGTAATAAAATAAAAAAAATGATTGATCCGAAAGATTTCGATTTAAGAAAAATAGAAAAATTAAAATAAAAAGATAAAAAAAGTCTTAGAATAAAAGTTCAATAATCATTTAAACTTATAATTTTTTATTTCAATTAATCAAGTTCTGAAATTTTTATTTCAGATCAATTAAACCTCTAAACATATACTTTTTATCAAATTAAATATTTAAATATCTATTTTCATCCCAATTGAATCCTCAATTAGGCGAGAATAAGTGTTGATGGTTAATCAATTGTTTTTCTAATAATAACTCCATCGATAAAAATAAATATTTAAGGGTTTAATTGATTATAATAAAGCAATAAAAACTTAGATCATTATTAAATTTTGTTCAAAAGCTTTTGTTTTTATTATTTTTTAGCCAAAAAATTGAAAAAAATGGGCAAGTCGGCATGTGTGGTTTTCATATGGTTGTGTACTAAAAGGTATAACGAGTGTTCCAAAAAAAGATATAAGGAATGGATCAAGATTTTAGGGTTTTGTCTACATGTGGTCTTGTTTGGCTGCTTGGAACCGTATGGTAGAGGGAAAAAGGAAGAAGGGAATAAGAAAAGGGAAAAAAAAATCAACAGTATTATGTTATTTGTTTGGGAGCGAGGAAAAGGAAAGAAAATAAAAATGAAAATGAAATGATTTGTACATTTTTTATGAAAAGTTTGAAGGAAAATGAAAATAAATTAATATTATAAAATCCATTTCAATAAACCGAGCCAATGGCATGACGACAAATATTAAAATTGATCTTTTTAGTATACGTGGGAAAAGAATTGATTGAAAGTTCTAAAAGAAGTTCAAGTTTGCATCTAGGAAGGACCACTTCTGTCATTTTAAGCAAAATTTAATTCAATTGAAATAATCAGAATTAAAGAAGTCTTAATCTAAAATTAAAAAATTATAATTTAATTTTTTAAATGTGATTATATGAATTAATTAAATTAAAAATTCGAGTTCATTAATATATTTGTCATTTTCAATTTTTGATTAGATTTAACATGTAATATCATTAATATATACAAACGTGTATATCTATTCCAAGAATCATATCAATGAAAATGAACGAGTCTATTTGGCATGTATAATAAGATCCCAAAAACAGCTATCATTCTCAAAATTTTAGTTAAACAAATAAAAAAAATTCAATAATTGCTTGGTTAGAGTAAGACAATTCCATTAAAAAACAAGAGAATTTTGGAGTTGGGTTTTTATATATTAGCCATGAACATGTATCCTCTTGTCGGCTTGCTTGAAAAAAGACTAGTTCAAAAGTTTATATAAAAAAAAAATTAATTATTTTTATGTGGAATTAAAGGGGAAATTCAATTTGTTTAATTGCTAAACAAATATGGGAAATATGTGGTCGAAGATTAGAAAGGTAACAACCATAGAGAAACATGACAGGGGAGATGATAATGGAAAAAGGATTGTATGATATATCTCTTCCATTTAACGTAATCATGTTAATGAAAAGTGTCAATTATATGTTATACATCAGATGCATGAGTATGTTGGAATTACTATTAATTTTTTCATGTAATAAATGATTAATATTTTTATTAATATGATTACGTGATATAATTTAAATATATGGCATGGAAAAATATATATGCTAATTTGAAATAGTTGTTTCATACAAATTTTCCTCGATAATATTGATAATTTGACATGATGTAAAAATTCTAGGATATATATAGTTGATAATCAGACCAGAAACTAGACAGGAGGCAACAAAATTTCCTTGCCGAGTTCCTTTGCATCCCTTAATTAAGGGTTTTTTTTTTTTTTTTTTTGAGGTTATTAGAGTGATATATAGAAAATTAAACATAAATACATGCATACATATTTATTAGTGAATTGTAAGTGTATTTTCATTATAGAAAAATACTTAATAAAAAATGCTAATTAATTGGTATCGGATCATTTTTGTCTCAATGAAGATTTTGAAAATAAGAGATTATTTATATTATATACCTTGAATTTTAGGTAAATTTTGTTATACTAGTTCATAATCATTTTATAAATTTTATTTTTATTTTTGATTTTACAAAAATTGATTTTTTTCATTTATGAGGTTTTGAATTTGCTTCAAATTCTTCATTCCATCAAGGTACCATTAAATTATGGAAGGTACATATTTGTTACATGCATATCCAATAAAGCATCATGTGGTAAATTTAATTCATATTGCATTCAAATTTTAATAGAATATTGATGAATTGAATTTGAAAAAAAAAAAAACACCTTTCTCAATCATGAATAAAAATCAAACATTATGAAAGGATTAAGGACTAATTATGAAATTTATTACTCCTAACTTTTGAATTGATAAAAATCCTTATATTTTATGTTCATTTATTATGAAATATCTCAAAATTTATTAAATAGCTACTTTTTAAATGAGTCTTAATTAGATTTTTAAAATTTAATGTTTTAAAAAATTAGAAAATTTCTAAAAATTAAAAATATATTTTTTTGTATTAGAGGATTAAATTTTAAATTTTATGCAAATATAAAGGCTAAATCTTAAATTTTATATGAGTACATGGGCCATTTATATAATTTAATAACTGATTTTATTAATTCTAATTGTAACATCAACAAATCAATATCACATCATTAAAGTCAATCTCATGTTAACATGATCAACGGATATGTCAATTAATTTAACAAAGATTAAGTAACATTGTTATCAATTGAACTAACATTGTTAAATTAAATTAGTATGATGATTTAATTTTTAAAAATTATTATATACGGACTAAAATTCAAATTTCATATAAGGATTAATTGTATAATTTGACCTTTAAATAAAGGAAACACAAGTTTATGAATTATTATTTTTATTTATTTCTAAAACCCAATAAGCTTTTGTTATTTTTTTTTAAAGAAAATGTCGTCATGTTCTTGTTTGATCCTTAAAGATGTTGTAGTATTTAAAAACTAATAATGCTTATTTTAATCAATAAAGAAACTGACTCCAACTAATATTATTATATTCCATGAGCTTGTTTTATTTGTTACTAACTAATATTCTAATTCATGAGTTTCTTGGTGTTTTCTAGAAAATATTTTCATAATAATTCCATGAACTTAACGTTAAGTTTCCTCAAATATTAAACAAATAAACATATGTAATGTCATGATTATTTTAATAGGAATATTTGTCATGAAATTTCTTCATTCTGACTATGATTGGCAACTTAAAATAATACTTAACAAATTTAAAGTTTAATTCAGTTGATTTCATACAATTAATTTTAAAATTAAAAAAATATATAATAAATTTGAAATTTAAATTTTAATATTTGTAATTCTTTTTCGTATAAATGAATTCCTTTGTAAAAAAAAAAAAATACAACATATTTGTTGGTATATCAAAACAAAAAATTCCTGATATATCTCATCTGATCATAATTTATTAATTACATCCCTCACAATTGTAGTAGATCCTTTTTTTTTATTCACAAGGTATCCCATTTTCTATTTTTTTAATAACTGCAAATTCATTTAAATAAAAAAAATTAATGACTAAATTCTAACGTATCAACAAACTATAATCAAAAGAAAAACTGTTATGAAAAAAATAAATAATTAAAAGAAACATTTGTCAGATAAGTTAATTAATAAAACTAATATATATTACTAAAGTTTCTTGGAAAATCTTTTGTTGACTTAGCTCTATGATTTATTTATATATATATATATATATATATAGTTCACCAATAATGAACTTTTTTTTTGCCTAATTAAACCTAAAACCTATATGCAAAATATTGTGCTTAAAGAACAATTAATGCGGTCAAGCCTAAAAGAAGACGTAGAGGAAAAGGCATTTATTATGCAAAAAAAAAAAAAAAAAATCCCACAGGAAAAAAACAATTGGACGTGTCGTTTTGAGCGGTGTGAGATCAAGTCTTTACTCAAAAACTCTTTTAATAATTACTTACGCGTTATACTTTGATCACTAATTTTATAACTATTCCTTCAATATTTTCGGAGACTTTTTTTTTTTTTTAAATTTCGTATGAAGTTGTGTAGATAATTTTTTTTTAATATGTAAGTCAAAAATTATTGGATGAAGGCGTAATTCGATATTCATACCTGTAGAAGCGGCAATTTAATGAGTCGAATTGGGTCATTTCAAGTTAAAAGATTTGAGTTTTTTCTACTTTAAAAGTCATTTCAGACTTGAATCTTTTGAATTTGATACTAAAATTATTTGGATTTGAATAATTTTAAATGCAAGTTGAATTTTAAAATTAATTAAATTTAATTTTAAGGAATTTTGAGTTAAATTTTTAAGTAATTATGAATGAATCATTTTAAATTCAAATAATAACGATTTAGTTTTATTTTTAATAAGTCAAATTGTGTTAGATTCAATTTTGGATAAATTAAATAAATTTTCGGATTCGAATCAATTAAATAAATTTTGGATAAATTAAATAAATTGAATGAAATTGATTTATATTACTGATATGACATGAATTAATCTTTTTCTATAATTTTTTGACAAAAATGGTTAGCTTGACATAAACCCCATTTTAGTTTTATTCATGTCAAGTCAATAAATTCAATCTACCTACTTTTTTTTTTTAACTCAAAAATTTGAATACAAGGATGTAAATAATTTTATAATTCGTAATTTAATTTAATTTATTCAATGATATTTAATAAATTAAATTTTAAAATTTAATATTTACGACTTCTTCTTTGGATTCCCAACTCATTTATATTAAAAAAAAAACCCTTGGCTAAGCGTGTCCGTTCTTTTGTTATTATTGTCCTGTTATTTACTGGTCAAGCCGGCTAGGCCAAAACGGTGGATGGGGTCTTCATTACACAACCACTCAGTCTTTGAAAAAGTCAGCCTTCTCTCTTTGTGATGATTCGATGACTTTCTCATTTCATTTGAAAGAAACTCAATTATATAAATAACCCATTTCATTAATAAAAATTCGCTTCAGCTTGCTCTTAAACCTTTTTCCCTATCTCTTCATCTCTTTATTACTTACAAACACTTTGTTTTTGGAGCAAAGTTTCAAAGGAAAAAGTTTTGTGAAAGGTTTTTCCTGTTTTTTTTTTTTTTTTGGTAGTTGAAAAAGCTTGCAACAAAGTTTAGCAATGGCCGAAGATAGTAAATCACGTTCATTGGAGGATACACCAACATGGGCAGTTGCTGTGGTTTGTTTTGTGTTGGTTGTTATTTCAATCTTCATTGAACATGCCATTCACGTTCTAGGGAAGGTTAGTTTGTTTTTGAAGTATTTATAGCCTTATAATTATCTGGTTTTCATGATTCCAGAAACTATAGTTACTTGATTTACTTCAAACCTTATTGACATTAGTCCCTTGACTTGTGTCTGGTCTGAAACTGAAAGAAACATGATATGGTTTCTGTGTAAAAACTTGGTGATAAGACCTTGAATTGAAGGCAGCAGGCTTGTTGGTAGCCACACCTGTTCTGAAAGAAGAGGTCCCCAAATTCCAAAAAGAAAAGGAAAACCTGGCTATGGCCACACCTGTTCAAGGCTTTGTCAAGTTTACTGTGAGAAAAGACAAGAGTCGTTGCAATCAATAGTAAGAGTTTCCTTTCAAATATTAGGAGTTAGAGTCAAACCTTAAGTCAATAATATGAAGATAATAGGGAGAACATTTATCCTTTCTTGCCTACAGTCGCGTAGTTTGTTGTTAGTTGGATTTTTAATTTCAGCAATTAAAGTTCAAATTTTGTCACAATTATCAAAAACATATTTATATCCTTTCTTGCAATAAAATCTAATGGTACAATTTCAATGATATGTTTTTCAAATTTTCATAATTTTTTTAAAATTATACATAACATTCTTGCACCCTTTACACAGTGGTTGAAGAAAAGGAACAAGCCAGCTCTTTATGAAGCACTGGAGAAGGTTAAAGCAGGTAATTAACTTTATTTTTGGGCCGAAATTTATTTCAATTGATTCATATAGTCTTTTAGCATGTTTGAAAGTCAAATTTCAGTAGCTACAATCTTTATTTCCTCCAAAAAAACAAACCTTTCTTCTAGTGTTCCTTTAATCTTTGTCAGTTTTAAACCGAAAAAAATGTTATAAAGAACTAACAAATACCTTTTCTTCTATTTTTCTTGTAGAGCTTATGCTCATGGGATTTATATCCTTGCTCCTAACAGTACTTCAAGGTCCCATATCTAATATTTGTATACCAAAAAGCATAGCAGACACTTGGCATCCCTGTGCCAAGAACACTGAGGCTAAAAAATTTTCTGGAAGTTCTGGTAGAAAACTTCTTGAATTCTCAGATGACACTACTACTATTCCTCGACGCAGTCTTGCATCAAAATATGACAAATGTGTAGACAAGGCAAGATTACCACTTTTTTAGTTGTTAATTACTTCTATTCTATGCATATTTGACAGTTTACTTTGGCAATTGAAAGGAAAACAGATTGATAATTAGAGTTGCTCACGTTAAATATTGAATTTTTTACGATTTTATATTCAAGTTGAATTTCTCAGCCTATTATCAATTCATTTTAGATTAGATACTTACCTCTCAACTCTTTACCAATTGAGTTGGATTTGTAGTTGAATTCGTTAAGGGAGACCCGAATCTAATTGACTGAGAACTATATTTCAGGGTAAAGTTGCATTTGTATCATCTTATGGTATCCACCAGCTCCATATATTCATCTTTGTGTTAGCAGTTTGTCATATTCTCTACTGCATCATAACCTATGCTCTGGGAAGATCCAAGGTAATAAAAAGAAAAAACAGTTAAAAATTTCGTTCTCTGGCCGTTTTTCCAGTCTTTTTCTTCCAGCTTTTTCCCCTTCTTTAATTAATAATTTATTGGGCTGCAGATGAGGAAATGGAAGGCCTGGGAAAATGAGACAAAGACAATTGAATATCAATACTACAATGGTACGTTTTCAACATTTAAAACCAACCTCACCCTCCAGGGTCCCAATTAGAAAACTCCATAATGATTTAGTTAATCTGTCATTCCCCAAAAGTTTGCATAGGACAAACTTTTGTTGCTTTAAAATAAATAAATCTATGATCAACTGCATCTTTTTTAGTCAATCAAATATTTTTTTTTTGGATTTTACATATAAGTTAGCTTCTACCCTTTATTTTACCCCCTGTTAACGAAGATTCGTATAAAATATATCAAATAAGAAATAATTTTTTATTTTTATCAAATTTTTAAATGGCGTCATTTTCTTTTTTCTTTATTAGGGGTAATGTATCATGTTTAAAATTAATTAAGTGTACAGAGACCACAAATATAATGATTTGAGCCGAGCCTAGGGTTAGCTATTTGTTTATTTATTTACTTATTTAATTTCATAGATGATAAATGTTGACTTTTTTAATGCAGATCCTGAGCGGTTCAGGTTTGCAAGGGACACTTCTTTTGGTCGCAGACATTTGAACTTTTGGAGCCAATCAACCTTATCCCTTTGGATTGTAAGTACTCAGATGAAAATTATTTACATAAAACTCTTAATTTTAAGCAAGATAGGATAATAGGAAATGGAAATATATATAATAAAAAATTATATATAAATTTAATAAAAATTAAAAAATATATATTTAACATGTTAAACATAAATTTTAATATAATAATTTTTATATTTTATACATATTAAAAATAAATAAATAAATATGAATACACGAGCAATCAATTTTACTATTAAAAAAAGGAAAATATCTTATCAAGAATAAATACATAGATGTTAATAAAGTTTGAATATCAAGTACCCCTGAAACTTTTAACTTTCACTCATATCTTATCAGGCTTCCCATTTGAGTGTGTGCTTGTGGTTTATATAAGATTTTGCGTTAATTCAAATTAACTGTTTTGAGTCAATGGCCTGTCATCAACCGTTGAATTTATGGCACTAGATTTTTACTTTAGGTAAATTTTTATGGTTCTGAATTCTGATTTAATTCTCTATTCACTATCAGGTTTGTTTCTTCAGACAATTCTTTGGGTCAGTTACAAAGGTTGATTACCTGACACTGAGGCACGGATTTATCATGGTAAGCTCAGCCATGGAATGTTACATATTTATGCTAATTTCAGTGCTATTACTGACAGAAAGATTTCTCAGTTTCCTGTTGCTAATTGAAACTTCAATGTGATGTGTTTTCAGGCACATTTGGCACCTGGAAACGAAACAAAATTTGATTTTCAGAAATATATCAAGAGATCATTGGACGATGATTTTAAAGTGGTTGTCGGGATCACGTAAGTGCACTCAAGCAAGTAAATCAACATTTCTTCAATGTATTATTACATTTAAATACTGACTTAATGTTGTGTTTGCAGTCCAACCATATGGTTCATTGCTGTCATGTTCCTGCTTGCCTATACACATGGTAAGGATTTCATCAGGGTAGCCATTATTTGCAAGAAATGCCCACCTGGCATAGGGTAGATCTACATGTTTAGCTAGTTAGGTATTTATGGACACCTCAAAGACAGGAAAACAAGAAAATTTGAAGGAAAATTTTCCTTCAAACATCTCAAAAAAATTTTTTAGACATCATTTCCATCGAAAAAATTGATAAATTTATCAATAATCTTATTATATTATTAGAAATGAACACCTAAAAAAAACAAAATTCTAAATCCGTCGTTAACTTGGCATGGCTTGTAACAATTGACTTCACTAACCATTAAACTGAGTTTAATACTGTCATGGGCTGCCAAACCTACAGGTTTTTCAGTATACAATGTTTAAACAAATATACTGCCTTTGCAAATGCTGAGATTTAAATTTTAGATCTGCTGGATATCACCTCTTAAAAGTGACTATATTAACCAATTGAACTAAGCCTTTGTTATGAACCAACCAAATTTGTCAACTGAACTCACTTACCTGTTTCTTTTGCTGCAATAAGAATCTGTCAACACTAACATATAAACATAGTTATGGATTTGTTGTGTTTGCTGATGACTAATAAATAATTTGCTCTCTGTGGACAGGATGGTACTCTTATTTGTGGCTACCCTTTATCCCCTTAATTGTAAGTACAATACCATATTTGATATACTTGACATATTTTTTGTATTGAGGTTGTGAGCAAGAAATTAATAGGATCTGATACCCTCAACTGGGACTTTACAGATAATTCTAATGGTTGGAACCAAGCTGCAAGTGATCATAACTAAAATGGGGCTGAGGATTCAGGATAGAGGGGATGTAGTCAAGGGTGCACCTGTGGTTCAACCAGGCGATGACCTCTTCTGGTTTGGACGCCCACGCTTCCTTCTCTTCCTCATTCACCTAGTTCTCTTTACGGTAAATTTCCTTCGTATCTATTTAGACTTAACAATTCATCAATTCATGTCATATAAAACATTGACAATTTACGCATTCTTATCGTATTTTAAGCGAAAATTTTACATCAAAATTCATGTCAATGCAGAAAATTCAGAATATATTTTTTGGTTTTTGGTAAAATTTTAAACCGTATCACTTTTGTGTTTTTTTTTTTTTTATCATTCATTGAGTTGTATTTTAGATTTACAGGTTTATCTCTGTCTATTCATAGATTCCTTTAATCTACCAACATTTAATCATCATCATCATTATCATTGTGCTAATGCATATATGTTTATTCCTGATTTCTTCCGCAGAATGCATTTCAACTAGCCTTTTTTTTCTGGAGCACGGTAAGAATCCTACTAGTTAAGTCTTTCCTGTGTCTGTTTCCTATGCAACTGTTTGATTAGCTTTTCTAATGAGTACTTTTTCATCTTTTTCAGTATGAATTTTCCATAAAATCTTGCTACCATGAGAACCTTGAAGATATCATCATTAGAGTCGCTATGGGGTCAGTTCATAACATTCCAAACATTGGCAATGAACCCTTTTTTCGCTAAGATTATTGATTTGAAAAAGTGAAACGATTACTGATTAAAAGCAAAATCTGCAATTTTCAGGGTCATTATACAGGTTCTTTGCAGTTATGTGACTCTTCCACTCTATGCTCTGGTGACTCAGGTAAGACAGAAAATAAACCTTTCAAAAACTTCTAGCATTCTCTTATTCTGATTTTTGTACCATTGGTTAGACTTGACAATCTACGTATTTGTGTCATATAAAATATTGACAATTCTTATATTTTTATCGTGTTTTACATAAAAATTATCAGTCATAATTTTTGCCAATGCAGAAAATATGAAATACCATTTTTAATTTTTGTTAAATTTATATATGATTTTTGTTAAAATTTTAACTTGTATCGTCTTCATATATATATATATATATATTTGTATTGTATTCGTGTCTTATCTTATCATGTTTTAAATTGACAGATCGACTGATGACTAGATGAAAATAGCTATTCTAAAGCGAAGATATCAAGCTCAAAATTGAGTGCATAACAAAGAAAATTATATTTAATTTGTCTGTTTTGTTTGGTTACAGATGGGATCAAACATGAGACCAACAATCTTCAATGATAGAGTAGCTACTGCACTCAAAAACTGGCATCAAACAGCAAAGAAACATGCTAAACAAAGCAGGCATTCTGAGAATACAACGCCCTTTTCAAGCAGGCCAGCAACTCCAACACATGGGATGTCTCCAGTTCATCTTCTGCATAACTATCCTCGAAGTGTCGAAAGTTACAACACATCTCCAACTCATTCTAACTTTGAGAATGATCAGTTGGTTCCTCATGAAATCAATGATCATGTTGATGATAACCAGATAGACGTGAAGGAAGTAGGCAGGACTGTTCATGAATCTAGATCTTCACAAGTGGCTCCAGCACCTCAGACATTTCGAACACAACATGAAATTGACATTAGTTCATCAGATTTCTCCTTCGCTAAAAAATGATCGAAATCGATTGAATCAGATCAGGTCGGATTGAATGAACAATGCTGCTAATTTTTGCCATGTACATTTAAAGCCAGCCTGCATGGAAACCAAAGGGCAAACGAGATTGGTAACAAGGAAACAAAAGTGCACAGAGATTGGACTTCTTTTTCTTTTTTGATATACCAAGTTTGTTTCATTCTTTTTAGCATCTTGTACTTCCTTTTCTTCTACAGTTTCGAATCTTTTAACTAAAACTTCATCAGGTTTAGATTTTCCTTGTATTTTTCTATTTTCTTTTATGGAACTGGTCAAGATATATAATTCATGAAACTGATACAGCAATCTGTAAGATTTTTACAAGCTCATAATCCTATCAAATTTGGACATTTCACAGCTTGAATGAAGTAATGCAGTTGAATCAAGTAGAAAAAACTGATAAACAAGTCAAATAAACAATCAATAAATCAAATAAAATTAGTTGAAATTTATGCGAGATGAGACTTGAATATGAGATCTAAAGGTTATGGCATTACTCTTACAATTAAGAGTGTAAACAAACATAACTTTTAACTAATTGTTCGTGAATATGTTTTATTTTTATTTGTTTATTAAATTTAACAAATGATTTTGAATAATACTTTTATGTTCGTTTATTAAATAAATTAAACACGAATAAAAATCTGTTTCGTTCGTTTATATTCGTGAACAAATTCATTTAAAGCATGTTTGTTTATTTTTCATTTGTTGTTTATTTGCTATTTGTTTATAATAATACTAATAAAATTACATTTTTATCCTTTATCTTAATTTTATTTTAAAGTTTATTTATATTTATTTGAATTCGTTTATATTCGTTTATGATTTGTTTATTTAAATTTGTTTGGTTATGGTCTATTTATTGTTTATGAATATGTTCGTTTATATATATTCATGAACATGTTCATTTAATATTTATGAACGAATTCATTTAACTTAATTAAATAAATATGAATCGAATGTGAATAACTTATTATTTAAATGAATGAACATAAATAAATAAAGTAATTTTCTTAATGAATACAAATACGAATATCTCTAAAAATAAACAAATAAATTACAGATATACATTCATTCGTTTATGTTTAGTTTGCCCTACTTACATTTGAATTTTGTTGATGCATTAGTTTTCATAATTTTTTTCTTAGATACATTATAGTATCTATGAATAATAAAATAAAACCCATTGTTAGATCAAATTTTCATTGGTTTGGTAATTTTGGTTGAGTAGATTGATGTCCATTCAGTTTCACTTTACCTTTGTTAATTAACAAGTGAAACATTTTGTGATTAAGACAGCCAACTCTATTTATTGTAAACATGCAGTCTATTAAATCAAATAATTAAATATGATAAATAAATAAGATTTATTAGAAAAATTATGTAGAAACATAAAAATGTTTGTTCATCAGAAATTGGCACTGTTTTATTGCTTAAATCTACCCAAAAACTAATGTTTGTGTAAACTATTTAGGAAATTAATTAAGGAAGATTTTGAAAACAAAAATTTGATTGAACTGATAAAATTTTAATATTTCATTATAAAATTTAAATTTAAATTTTACGGTTAACAATATTTTTTGATAAATAATTTGTAAATTTATTATAAGTTTTTTTAAATGATATTTAATTTATTTTCGAAATGATAAAGTGATACTAAACCACTCTTTTTATAAAAAAAAAAATAATAATAAAAGAAAAAAAGTGCACATAACTTCTATTTCAAGTCACAAAGTTTAAAATGCCATATGAAAATAGAAAAGAGGATTAGGATGGAAGAAAAGTGAAAGCAAAATTGGTTGAGTTGCAATTAACAATTAATTAATTAATTAATGCAAAAGGCTAGTGATTTAAAGCCATATGGAAGAACACGTAGCACCACCGTTCAATATATTATGTGGTTTTAGATGAGATTCCTTTCTTTATTTTAACTTTTCAAAGATAAAAAATTAATTTGCAAAAAAATTGCTTTTAATGCTTATCCTTTTCAATATTCTTGTTTAGAAAATGTCCACTTTTGAGGTGATGGTAAATTTATTTTTTAAAAATATTTTTTATATGAGAAATTAAAGGATAATATATAATTTATAATTATTATCGTATAATTAATTAATTATAATTTAAAATTACGTAAAAATTATTAAAATTTTATATAAAACACATACTTATAAGTGATGGATCTATATATAATCTTTTATTTTAATTAATTAATTACAAAATTATAATAAAAAAATTATAGGTGATATGCTTTTGGAAGCAATTTACTTATTTCTTATCATTATCGGAGAATTTATGCCAAAAATGTAAATTCTTCCACTAAGATGTTTTTTACAATTTTTTTTTAAAACAATTCTATTTACTAATGATATTATCCATATAAATATTATTTATTTGTATTTCACGCATTATAATTATTTCAATTATGAATGAATTTAAAATTTTTAAAATTAAAAATTAAAAAATATATTTGGCCAACTTAAATAATTAAATATATATTTCACTTTTAAAATCTTAAATGGTTAAAATTAGTACATCTTATCACATTTTTATATATTGAAAGTGTATATATAAATTTTAAACCTAAAATTGAAGTTTTACAACTAACCATTTAGTAGTCTTTACATATATACTAGCGTAGGAAGCACAACTTCACTTGGTTTATTAGGAAAATTTTTAGTATTTTATTTAATTGATATTTGATTGAGTTTAAACTTAGAATGATAAGTACAATTAACATAAAGTAATTAATAAAATAATTAGAGTAGCCTCAATACTTATTTGTGTACTATTCTTTGTCCATGCACATATATTTTCATCCATATAAATGCATACATGCAAGGAAGAGAAAAAGGTTGAAGATCTCTAGTCATTTTATTATGTCGCAATGAAATTTTTCTAGAAAAAACACTAACACACCTAATCATTCATGAGAGCTCCAACTAAACCCCACATTTTAGCATTGCTGTCAAGATTCCTTTAAGAAAAGCATTAAGGTGTCAATCTTTCAATGTGAACTTAAAAAAATAGTTTTGGTAAAGAAAAAAATAAAATCAAGCAAACCTGATAAAATGTGAATAATATGCCTCTGAGCAATTTTGTTAGGTCTGTCAAGAACCACTGTAAGAATTACAATAATCAAAACTTATTATTAGAAGACCTGAAACTCATTTAACTCACATAGGATTTCATAAAAGTCCAAATTATCACAAATCATGTATAATAATAAGGGAAAGATTGATATAGAAATATATATGGGATGCCAATTCTACTTGAAAAGTTGTACCAATAATAATTGCTGATTTCTCACAAACTCCAATAGCATTCAGAAGAGCCTAAGAAAGAAGTTAAAGTAAATAGCAAACAAATACATAAATGATCAACATAGAGTCTATACTCTATATTTAGAAGAAGTAAAATATCAACTTAATTTGACCCTTACTTGGGTTAAAAACATTGTTCTTATGTATGTTGAAAGTACTTATAAATGTAATGTAAGCTAAAAAGGATTGAAACTCTAATTAGTAAGGATTAATAAGTTAAGTAGTGCCCAACTACCCATTGATTTTTTTTTTTTAACTTGCAAAGAGTCCCATACTTGAGAAAGGACATAATCTGGAGTCATATTGCTTAGGAAACCCTGCATTCAAGCTGACATTAAGACTTTAAACGAAACCAAACAAAAAGAACCATACTACTTGAAGTTAATAACTCTTTCTTATGTTTAGGTATTCCAAAAATAACCAACAAACAAAAAATTGATTTTTAGTTTTTCTAATTACACCAAATCATGAAAACAAATAGAAAAAAGAAAACTTGTCTCGGGGACAAATGCATCGAGGAATCATCTCCAAACATGGCTGAAATGATTAATTAATCTGTTTCAACCAAATAAACCCCTTCAAAAAAAATAAGAAGAAAACTTGCTAAAAAAAGAGAAAGAGAAAAAGAAAGAGAATGAGAAAGAGAAAATTAATGAAAAGATTTTTACCAATTGATTAAATAAATTCAAGAAATAGGTCACTCGCTAATTGGGCCTTGATAAGGATTTGAGCAAAAATTTAAGAAACAAATATATTAAATAAACAAAATCACACACAACTGAAAAAAAAAAAAACATAAAAAAAAACAACAATACAAAAACCAAAAGTTCAACTTAAAATTTACCTCAAACTTAAACAACCTAATATCTTCAATTATACCTATATAAAAAAAAAAGATATCATAATTAAAAACAATGAAAATAAAATAAAATAACAAATTCACTGTATAACCGAAAATCATTAAAATAAACAAAACTAATATATAATCTCACAAAAAAAATATAATTGAGACAAATATCACAATATTACCAAAAACATTGAAATAAAACAAAAAACCAAACTTTTCACTCACCTTCAACCTAATTAAGAAAAAATCTTCAACAACTTCTTAAAAAAATCAAGCAAAACAAAAAATAACCCAAGTACATAATTAAAGTTACCTATTTAGTTTGCTTGAACTGCGAATTTGATATAAGTAATTGAATTCTTTTAAAACATCCACAATCTTACTTGGAGCACTTGGAATTGGTTTTGGCATAACATGAGGCTCATCCTTGCGATCATTGGTTGATTTACAAATAAAAATGCACCTCCTAAAATTGGGATAACAAGTGTTGGAAGAAAAGGAAATCTGGGCCTTTTAGCCATTAGATGTTGATTAAAAGCAGCTTTAACCCATTGGAAAGCTGCAGCTTGGCTAAGATGTTCCTTAATCCTTTGGTCAATTAAGCTCTGGGTCTGTTGCTTTAACATTTGCCTAAAATTACACAAAGATTGAACATAAAAGTACAACTCACAAGATAAATAACTAAATAAAATACAAAGAGAAAAATCTCTATAATTACCTTGTGAATGTAACATGCATTGTGTTGTTTTCTAACCTATGGCTTGAAATTTAAACCCAAAAAAGAAGTTTTTAGCAATTTTTTTCTAAATAAAACAACCCAACTAATAAACCATACTTAATTTTCAAAAATTTTAATAAAAAATTTGTTTAGAAACTAAATTTGAAAGGATTATAGTAAACATTAAAAAAAAAAAAGACAATACAGAATCAAAAAACTTACGAAGTCGTGAGTTAAATAAATGTTGCAATAATCATAGTAATAATTGCAAATTGAATCCAACTAGACATATCCATAAAATGTTACAAAAAGTTTCCAAGTGATAATACTAATTTCTTTTAAGATTAAATAAATTGGTAAAGATCCTTATTGAGACCCAATTAGCGAGTGACCTATGGACTAAAATATAAGAAGGCTCAATCACTATAAAACTTACAAAAGTAAATGTCATGCCATCATAAATTCAAGCAGCAAGTCTCCCAATAACAGATACTTTACCATATTTTCTCTTGAAAAATTTTTAGAAATTAATAAGAAATGGAAATCAAATGACTAATTCCATCTAGGGATGCAATGTAAGTACCATGCTAAGATTAGGTTTTGCATATTCTTTCATTACCTTATAAGTTTCATAAGCAAAAAGTTGGATAGCACTGTGAGGTATGACTTTTATCACCTGAACCTTTTAATATTAAACAAATATCAAAGGCAACTTAAAAAATCATTGCAATTATATAATCCAATTATATTATGAATTAATGTTTGGAAGTAAAATTGTAATGAACTTGAGAAAGATTGTCTTTCCAATACCCTTTAATTCCTTTATCTTTCCCAATCAATACAATCACCAATAATTTATTTTCAAATAGTCACAACATTTAAAATATGATCAAATACAATCATTTTCCACTGCAAACAATAAACAGCTAAGTTGAAAACAACAATTATTTCATGCTTTAAATATCTATCTTGACCATCTTTCAAGGAAGGTATATTTAACCAAAAAAGAAATTGGCTTCATAAATAATAAAGGTACCACCAACATATCTTGTATAAGGCAAGATCATTAATACCAGTCTGTCTAGGTTGTAAGACAGATCCTGATTTTAGGCACTATTCTTCATGAACTTTAAAAAGCACACATAGTAAAATTAAGGAAAGATGTGAAAAAAGATAATTTATCACTTTATTGAACAGTTAATGGATAAAAAAAATTAAACCAATATTGAATCAATGCTAGACAAAAGAAGATTTGAGAGATAAACTTGAGTTTTGAAAAATGATAGGAAAATTCATATTGGTTTAGTTTAGCATCTACATCATACTATCTATTCTAAAAGGTCTAGCTTCTCCTCATATAGTTTCAATAAATAAGGATCCTCATAATGGTTGACAAACCTTTTAAAGAATTCATTTTCAGTAGATATCATAGTAAACACTAAATTTCTCAATCAAATATTTAGATAATAAAGCTTGAAAAACCGAACACCAAGGGACAATTCTCTTTTCCAAACTACATAAAAAAAGGATTATAGTAAACATAAACAGATAAAAAAAGATAAAACAAAATAAAAAAACCTTACGAAGTCGTGAGTCAAATAAGTGTCGCAATAATCACAGTAATAATTGCAAATTGAATCCAAATAGACATATCCATAAAATGTTTAAAAAAGTTTTCGAGTGATAATGCTAATTTCTTTTAAGATTAAATAAATTGATAAAAATCCTTACCGAGATCCAATAAGCAAGTGACTTATGGACTAAAATATAAAAAAGCTCAATCACTGTAAAACTTACAAAAGTAAATGTCATGCCGGCATAAATTCCTGTAGCAAGTCTCCCAATAACATATACTTCATCATCTTTTCCCTTGAAAAGTTTCTAGAAATCAATAAGAAATGGAAATCAAATGACTAATTCCATCTAGGGATACAATGTAAGTACCATGCTAAGATTAGGTTATGTGTATTCTTTTATTGCCTTATAAGTTTCATAAGCAAAGAGCTGAACAACATTGTAAGGTATGACTCTTATCACCTGAACCATTTAATATTAAACAAATATCAAAGGCAGCTTAAAAAATCATCGCAATTATATAATCCAATTATATTTTGAATTAATGTTTGGAAGTAAAATTGTAATGAGCTTGAGGAAGATTTTCTTTCCAGTACCCTTTAATTCCTTCGTCCTTCCTAATCAATACAATTATCAATAATTTATTTTCAAATAGTCAGCAACATATAAAATACGATCAAATAAAATCATTTTCCATTGCAAACAATAAGCAACTAAGTTGAAAACAACAATTATTTCAAGCTTGCAATCTCCATCTTGACTATCTTTCAAGAAAGTCATATATAGCCAAAAAAGAAATTGCATTCATGAATAACAAAGGTACCACCAACATAATTCATATAAGACTAGATCATTAGATGAAGTCCTATCAAATTTGTACACTTCACAGCTTGAATGAAGTAATGCACTTGAATCAAGTAGAAGAAACTGGTAAACAAATCAAATAAACAATGAATAAGTCAAATAAAATTAGATGAAGTCCTTGCGAGATGAGACTTAAATATAAATTTAATGGTTACAAAGTATTACTCTTATAATTGAAATTTGTTGATGCATTAATCTTCATAATTTTTTTCTCAAATACATTATAGTATTTATTGATAATAAAATAAATTTTATTGTTAGATCAAATTTTCAATTTTTTCTCCTTTTCATGGGGTTTGGTAATTTTAGTTGAGTAGATTGATGTCCATTCAGTTTTACTTTACCTTTGTTAATTAGCAAATGAAAATTTCGTGATTAAGACAGCCAAGCTCTATTTATTGTAAATTTTAGCACTATTAACTCTCAAAAAGTATCTCTTTTCTTCAACCACGTTGTACAACAAAAAAAAAAAAAAAGGCAGTCAATTAAATCAAACAATTAAATATGATAAATAAATAAGATTTATTAGCAAAATATATATGATAAAAATAAAACATGTGTTGACACACAGTAAATGTTTGTTAAGCAGAAATTGACATTGTTCTATTGCTTACATTTACCAAAAAACTAATATTTATGTAGATGATTTAAAAAATTAATTAAGAAAGATTTTAAAAATAAAATTGGTTGAGTTGATAAAATTTGAATATTTTATTTACAAATTTTAGATTTAAATTTTTTTATTAATAATTTTTTTATGAATGATTTATAAATTTAATATAAATTTTTTCTAAAATGATATTTAATCCAATCTCAAATTGATTGATGTTAAACCTCTCTTTTTATAAAAAAAAAAAAAATGCACATAACTTCTATTTCAAGTCATAAGTTTAAAATGCCATATGAAAATGGAAAAGAAGCTTAGGATGGAAACAACAGTGACAGCAAAATTAATTGAGTTGCAATTAAGCATTGATTAATCAACTTAAGAAAAAAGCTAATGATTTAAAGCCATGTGGAAGAATCATAGCCCCACCATTTAAAGCCATATGAAAGAATACATGGCACCACCGTCCAATATGCATTGAATTAGAATTATTTCATTTTCATTTTCCATTTGTTTGTTACTTAATATTTTGAAAGTTTGGCTTAGTTTTTTTCTACGACAACATCAACCACACATCAAATATCATTGATTGATTGATTGATTTGATGCTTATCTTTTGTAAATATATATTATGTGGTTTTAGATGAGATTCCTTTCTTTATTTTATCTTTTCACAGATAAAAAAATTAATTTGTAGAAAATTGCTTTTAATAAGATTCTTGTTTAAAAAAATGTCTATTTTTGAGGTGGAAGTGAATTGATTTTTTTTTAAAAATATTTTTATATGATAAATTAAAAAATATATTTATATTTGATATATTCTTAATTTATATAATTTATATATTTTTAATTAATTAAATAATATTATTTTATTAATAAATTAAATTTTAAAAAATATATTATTTTTATATATTTATTTTAAAAATTAATATTTATTTATTAATAAAATAATATCATTTAATTCAATGATAGAATGTAGAGTATATGTATTAATAATACATCAAATTTAAATTTTTATAATTATTTTAATATAATTATTTATAATTTAAAATTATATAAAATTTATCAAAATTTTATATAAGTTCACATTTATAAATAAATGTTTAAATAATCATAAATTTATAATAAAAAATATAAGTGATACGCGTTCAAATTGTATAAATCAATTTCTTATCATTATCGAGGATTACCTACCAAAAAAGCAAATTCTTCCGCTGAGAGTTTTTATTACCATGCTTTTAAAAAAAAAAAAATTCTATTTATTAATGATATTATCCATATAAATATTAATATATTATTTATTTGTATTTAGTGCATTATAATCATTTCATTGATGAATGAACTTAAAATTTTTTAAATTTAAAATTTATATTTTGTCAACTTAAATAGTTAAATATAAATTTCGTTTTTAAAAATTTTAAATGAATAAAATTAATATATCTTATTATATTTTTACATATTAAAAGTGTATATATAAATTTCAAATATAAAATGAAAGTTTTACAACTAAGTATTTAATATAATAAAGACAATTTAATTTTTATTAGAGCAAAATATTTAAAATTTTATTTTTTATTTTATTCATTTTACGCATTACCCTTTTTTATTTAATGTAAATATTACCTTATTAAATAATTTTGTATATATAGCTTTAAATATTTTTTATTAAAAATATAACAATTTAAAAATAAAAAATTATAAATATTAAAATTTAAAATTTAATAAGTTTAAACATCTTCATCATCCTATCTCTTACATAAGAAAATATAGGAACAAATTAGTCGTGGCTTCATTATACTCTTTCATATAATAATTATTAATTTTCAGAAATTATTATTTATATCAATAATAATCAAAATAACAATAAAAAAACTTAAAATAAAAGACTTTTATATTTTTAATATATAAATATTATACAAACAAACGTAGCGGCTGCATTATACTCATTCATAAAATAACAAAAGAAAAAAAAAAAAAAAACAGAATAAATCTCTAAACGTTTCTTGGTTCAGCAATTAATCGTTTAATTTGATTAATTTGATTTGAAATTCGATCATTCAATTCTGACCGTTGATTTCATCGGTTCTCTTTTCAATCGTTGGTTTTTTTTTTTTTTTATCGTCGTGATGGAAGTCCGGCCCAATCAAACGGTGGACAATTCGTCGACATCCGGGCGACAGCATCACAGCCATGCGGCCGCCGCTGCATCTAAACAACCTGTTTCCGCTACCAACGCTGTGGACACCACTTCCGTTACTCAAAGGTAAGAGACAGTTTTTATTTTTCTTTTTATTTTTACTTTGCCCGTTGGTTCCCGCGAAAATTTGACAAAGAAAAAGAACAAGAAAAGGAATTTTTTTGTTAATTTTCTTGGCTTTTCTTTTGATTCTATAGAAAATCTTGGGAACGAAATAAATCTTTTCCTTTTGAGTTTTTCTTTTTTTTTTCCTGTTTTCATTTCCCGGGAAATTTTGTTTCTTTTTGGCTCTAGTTTAATATCTAAGTGAAAAAAGTGGTTTAACTCTGTTTTAGTTCAGTAGCGGGGTGTCCCTTTTTTTTTTTTTTTTTTCTTTTCTCTAAATATCAGGAAAGTTTGAAAATTTAACTTCTCATGCTTTACAATTTTTTTTTTAATTTTATGTATCTCATTTTTTCAGGTATTTGTTTGGTTCCTCAGAAATTTATGGAAAGGATAAGAAATGAAAAATAATTTTATGCTATTTATTTTTATGATTTTTTTAAACATTAATTGAATTTACGGATTACTTTTCTTATATGGGTGGTTTACTGTAATGAAATTGTTGCAGGCTTCAAAAGGAGCTGATGGCTCTCATGGTATGTGAATCTTTTCCACTGTTCTATGTTCAAAACCTCATTTCTGTACTTGATGCTATAATTGAATTGCGTGTTCTATGTGGGTTTACCTTTATTTCATTGGATGATGTATTATATGGTGAAAGCAAGGCTTGCTATATTTTCATCTATAGTGATTGTTTTATATGGTGAAAGCAAGGCTTGCTATATTTTTATCTATAGTGATTGTTTACCTCAATTGTTATCAGACCTTGACTAAGTGTGGTTAATGAAAATGGTCATTTTGAAGGGTCTTAGGTTTGTTTAAACAATCTATAGAAGGAATTAGGAACCTAGTTTTAGACTTGGCAATCTTAAACATGACACTGTCACCATACGGAAATGGTTTAAATTTTTAGCAAAAACCGAATAAGGGTTAAAGATTAGCAGCTTTTTGTCATGTTTTCAGAGTATTGAATTTTTTGCTTTCTCCTGATTGGCTATCGGGGGAAGGGAAATTTGAACTTGGAACCTCATTTGTGGAGGAGGTGTTTAGTTACCAATTAGGTTATGCATTGGCCACAGTATATATTTTGTCTTAACTCTTAAGTGCTGCTGGTGGTATAATACATCGTGTAAACACTAAGAGTTTCATATAAGCTTCATTGTGTATTGTGCCTGTGGCATGAATTTCTGGAAAATAAGGCCTAACTTGAAATGAAGATTTTAATGTGACATCACATGGACTTGAATGCATGCATTTCCACATTTGTATGAGCATATATATATTCACAAGCCTGCAAACGCATTCAATTTAATTAGAAAAAAGAAAACAAATCGAGTCAAATGATTTAATGGAGTAACCAATCAAACTTCAAGTTAGTAGCATGAAGTAGACCCCATGTGGGAAAAACCTTTTAGAACACTGCTTCATGCAACATCTGATATCGTCTTCTGCTGCAGATGAGTGGAGGAGATCTTGGAGTGTCTGCTTTTCCTGAAGGGGAAAGCATTTTTACATGGATTGGCACAATTGAGGGTGGAAAGGGAACTATGTATGAGGGTTTATCGTACAAACTTTCCTTGCATTTCCCATTGGACTATCCTTTCAAGCCACCTCAAGTAAAGTTTGAGACAATGTGCTTTCATCCCAATATCGATCAGTTTGGCAATATTTGCCTTGACATTCTTCAGGTATCAATTTACTTGGTATACATAGCTTCTAATAAAACTATTTGCTACTGAAGATTGTATTGATGAAATTAAGAAAAAAAAAAGAATATTTGATCCATTTTCTTCTAATTGTGGATGTTTTGAGTTAAATTGATTGGATTTTTGAAGTTGCAAGGAGCTAACCTTGAGTGTCCTAGAATAGTTGATGGGAAAGTTTGTTTTGCATCTGACTTTCCTAGTATAGAATTTTCGGATAGTCAAGAAGAGGGTTGGTCTTAAAGATGATCTGACAATTCTTCATGTTTATAATCACTGAAATTGCTAGAAAATTTCCATTTTCCCTCTATTTGTTTACTATCTCTTTTTGTTGCATTCTTATATATTTGTATGGTGGAATTACTGTTCTGTTTCTTGTTTACCAATGTTTTCATGATACTCATAAATTCTTCATTTATATTGTTACAGGATAAGTGGTCTTCTGCTTATGATTGTCGAACCATTCTTTTGTCAGTTCAAAGTCTACTAGGAGGTTTGCTTGCTCTTCCCTACATGTTTGATCTATGAAACAGATGAACTCTTAGTCCTGTTGATAGCTTAAGAATTTTCTTACATGCAGAGCCAAATCCAGAGAGTCCTCTCAACACCTATGCGGCGGCACTGTGGAACAATAAGGAAGGTAGAACTTGGGACACCATAATATGCTATATGATATTTCTCCATTTTACATGGTTGAGAGAAATTAGTTTTGATGTTCTTTCCTGGTTTATGCATCGAGATCTCTGCAACTTCATTTAAGGTTGATGATTTTGTGGCTTAAGCATTATTAAGCCCTAGCATATGTCCATATAAAATGTAAATGGGAAATCTTTGGTCACAGTTCTACAACATCAGATTTTTGCAAAGTGTGGTGTTTCTTTTAAATTTCAGTGCAACAATCAACTTTTGCTATGCTATGAAACTTAACTGTATCGATAACAGATTCAGTATGATTTTTCCCTTTCATTTTTCCAGATTACAGAAAAATGGTCCAAGAACAGTATTATGGTGGAAAAGCATTTGAGAGCTGATATGCACAATCCATTCTTTCATTACATATCAGCCAGCATGTCTTTTCCTGACTGAATTTCTTGGTAAAGCTCCAAGGAAAGAGCAGATAATTCAGAATTTAATAGCAGTGGCCTCAATCAAGGTATATTCCAATGGTAATCCGTATCGATTTTATGTCTTGTTACGAAAGAAACACAGGAACTTTGAATAAATCTGTCATCAATAAGTTGCTTGCTACATCTCTCTGGTAATTGCAAAATTGCAAAATAAAGTCCTATAGAAGTTGTAAATTTGTTGAGTCAATTGAAAAAAGGGGTTTCATATTTTTCCTGTTTGATTGAAATTGTAATTCAATAAATCCTTGTGGAGTTTAACCAAATGAAAAATTGATGCATTGCCTTAAAAAGGATTGATGCATTGCCTTAAAAAGGGGCTTTTTCTTCTTTGGATGCTTAATTCCTCAAACCATGATCGATGTATGTAGATATGTGCGTTATACTGTAATATACATTATATTGCATTCTGAGCAAAAGAAATATTATATCTGATATATCTGATAATTTTAAATACAATACGATAATAAATATAAGAGCTTACGAAAAAAAAAATGATATAATTTAAAATTTTGTAAAAAATTATATATAAATTTAATAAAAACAAAAAAAAAAGTTTCATATTTAATATGTTGATAAATTAAAATTATGATAAATAATTTTTATATTTTACATGTATTTGATATGAAATAAATAAATATGGATACATAAACTGTCATGCCTGAAAAATATGAAGGAAAAATATGGAGGAAAATGTTACTGAAGTCTGTTTTCCTGAAGTCTGTTGAATGTTGATGACGATAACACTGAAGCATGTTAACATAAAAGATCACAAAAAGAGTGAGAGATGTATGGCAGTGAGGGCAAAGACGGTGAACAAAACCCAAAGCTCGTACACAGAAAAAGGTCCACATTTCATTGAAAGTGTAATGAAAATGGTCCAAAATCAAATTATACAAGCAACCCTCAAATAAGAACAAAAAAAACAAAAAAAAAGACTTTTGCCTCCATTTTAATGTAAGGGTAACTTCTTTCCATTTCTACTCTATATATGGATCATTGTGCATAAAACACAAAAAAAAAAAAAAAAAAAAAAAGCAAAAGTGAAAAGCAATTTGTGTACTGTGAGAATCATAATCCACGGAAAATATATAACAGAACTGTTAACCAGAGTCCACAAAAAGATACTTCTCCTGAGATTGCATAACCTCTGTAGTTATCGATGATGGTGGAGTTTCTGAGCAATCAAACATTATCAGCGCCTTCTATCTGTGACTCTTCCGAATTCCGTCGATTAGCCAACTTCTCAGCTGCCAATCTCTCCTCTAGTGCTCTTGCCCCTCTTTCTCTGCAAGGTGACAGAGGTCAGAAACCAAAATTTTCTTTTCTTTCATAAGAATTGCCATTGTTTTGTTATAATAAAGAAAGCCATTAATATCTTAACCATAGACATCTCATGCAACAGCTGCCTCGCAAGCACCCCACGAAATCAAAGACACCTCTCATTTTTTTCCTTCTTGAGAAAGAGAAAATACATCAAATCAAAATCCCATCCAGATCTTAGCGGAAACTGTGTAATGGATTCACCAATATTACTACTTCACATGCAGTGGTTTTGGCTTAATATTGTCATTGCTGCAGTCAAGTGTTTTGTAAATATAACAACGCAGAAAGTAAGGTGCTCTCCTCCTGGATGCAGTTTAAGCCTTTTGTCTTCAGACTTGTTGAACTCTAGGGCAAGTTTGACTTGTAACTTAGAATTGGCTTCCCTCATATTTCTTATTCCTAAATTATCCTACTTCAGATAGTGCAAGGGCAAGTTTATTCTACATATTTCCTTGAAATGATGTCACTTAACTCTCTAAGTGCAGTTGAAGAATTGAAGTAATGCCTAGTGCCATTCCAACTTTCTTTTATATTTAAGATCTCGGTAGACAGCATCATCTTTTTGCTAATAACTTCCAACTTTTGCATTGACAATTTTCCCTATTCTATGATGAAGATGAACCCACTTGTGAAAACCATGTTGCCCAAACGTCAGCCAAATCGTTCATCTTATTTCTTCCAACACAGTTCAACCATTTTTCAACATATTAAAAGAGAAAAAGTTCATGATAAAAGTTTCTTTTCAAATATATGGTGTCTTTATTGTATGTTAGACTCATTAGATAGTACATGACAGATAAAGAACCTTCTAACAGTCAATGGAATACGCCAGAATTAACAAGGAAACGTACCTTCTCCTTGATGCCTCAATGGGGTCAGAACCAGGTAATGTTGCACCTCCCAAGGTATAACCCTGAGCATCTGTGGAAGCTTCAGATTTTCCACAAAGCATCCGGTGAAATATTGATGTAATGGGATCAATGATTGGTCTGTACCAAATCACAGGGAAACACTTGAGAGAGAGAGAGAGAGCTTACAACGAACTTATCATTTCATTTCATGTGCTAAAAAGAAAGCCAAAGAATACCTGAGAAATTCAGGGAAGAATGTAGAGAATGCAAAATCTTCACTTGGATCACCCCTATGTTTTGCTTCTGGTTTTCTCTGCAGGTATCTGAGGTAAATCCAGCCAATGTATGTTCCAAATATTAAAGTTGGAAGGTATGTTGCTGACTCTGGAGTGAAGAAACTTATGGCAATGGAAAGCAACAACATAAGTGATGGCAGCCACTGCATAGCATAGGAAACATCAACAAAGTGTGTGAAGGGCGAATTCCCAGCTAGAAAAAATTTTATGTCAAACTGAATTAAACGATGCTCGCAATATAAAATTTTACCTTTGCTTTTATTTTCAGCAAAGACAGCTCTTGGTCAGGTACAATTTGCTTGATACCAACCAAGAAGCCAGCCAGCACCCCATGGAAGCCAGAAAGAGGCATGTAACTAGCACAAAGACGAACCAAAGGTTGAGAGGAATAAAAATTGTAAACATGATAGACAAAAAAATTAAATTAAATTTTGCAAATATAATTTCATCAACTTCAAGAAATGTACGCCATGTTCCTACCAATCAAAGAAGGACAGGGGAAAAGAGTGCTTCAATTTTATAAATTTATTCTATTTTACTTCTCAAACAATAGAGTGAGAAGAATGGTGGAAAAAAGAAGGGTTAATGTCATGAGTAACCTCCGAATTATAGTGAAATGTTCAATGTAGTACTTGAACTTTAAAAATCTCTAATGTGGTACCTAAACTATAAATCTTTTAGCTAATGTAGTACTTCTAGGTTTATTTATCCGCCGCATGCCATCATTTGAAGCTAACTACACTAGGGGTGAGTATCAAATTAGTTAACATATTCATAATTTAAGTACTACATTAGAGATTTTTAAAGCTCAAGTACCACATTGAACATTTCATTATAATTCAAAGGTCATTCATGACGTTAATCCAAAAAAGAACAAGCAGAAGAGAGTAGGGCATAAGGAGAAGTAACACAAATAAATGCTTCTCAAACACATAGGGAGATTGTAGTACTCACAGGTAATTTTCCTGCCTTGATATGTAGTACAAGGCAATAGCAGTAATGAAAACACAGATAGAAGTTAGAAAGTTAATTACAAAGATGAACTTCAAGAACTCCTTAGAACCCCATATAGGCTCAAGCAACTTCCCCAGGAAAATAAGACCAAGAGTGCTGACAACCACCTGTAGAAATAAGTAACCATCGGTACAACTATATGAGAAAAAAAAAAAGGGAAGATTAGGTAAAATAAAGAGTAAAATAAAACATATTTATACCCCATGTACTGATTGTTCAATATAACCAGCAGTTATGAGGTTCCAACCAAAAGGAATCGTCCTGCAAAATAAGTTTCAGGTTGGGCAAAAAAAGTTTAAGTCCTTGAAAGAAATATAGCAATCCAAAGCATTACTCTCTTGCATCTCAAGGAAAAAGAGTATTACAACATATCTGAATCCAAAACCAAACACAGATAGACATAAAGTTACAGGTGCATGATTTATCATGTGCGCTAAAAAAGCATACAATAGGAGGGCAACTTGCATACTTTTCGTAGTCTAGTCCCAGCAGGCAATTTATATTAACATGTTACTTCTTGTTTCAATATTTATTAACATCAAATGGAATGAATTACAACTGGAGATCCCTGCTCTCAAAATGCTGAACCCATTCTTTTGACAGGATCTGTTATTGATTTTCCCAATTCATCCAAAACCATTGTTAAAGCTTTAATCCCAGAACCAATAAGAGGTAGGACACTGGTTTTTAAACTGAGATCCATCTTCAAGTTTCAAAATCTAGATCTAAAATCTAAATAACAAACCCTGAAAACCGCTCCCTTTGCCAAAGTTTAAAACATGAAACTTCAATAGATCGGACAGTAAGCAGCCATGCGCAGGAAGGTGCTAAAAATAATGATTTCTAAACGTTAGTTTCAAGCACAAAAATCCAGATCGAAGCATTGGAATATCAAAATCGTAAATCATTCTTTTTGCACAGACATAAAAGCAACAAATACTAGAAAAGGCTCACTTAAAAAGAGCAAACAAGTTTAAAAAAAATACTAACATAATTACATAATGATTGCTAATAGTTTATTTCTAGTTCCTAAATCCAGATCTAAGCATTCAAATGAACAAAGTAGTAAGTCACTCCCTTTGACCATGTGTAAAGAGCATAGGCATTTTACTTAACTAGAAAAAAACCCACCAAAAGATAACTAGCCAAGATCAAGAAAATGTTAAGACTAATCAAAAAGCCAGATCTAAACATCTGAATAACAAATTCTTAAGTCAGTCCATGAAGCACGATGAAACAACTGTTTAATTGAAACTAGAACCAACCCATTGGTAAATAAACACCCAATTCGCAAAAAAAGGAAAATAATATATATATATATATATATATATATATATATAAGGCTAGTATGATTCATTAGAACAACTAGCAATGAAATTTGACTAAAATCCCACATGGGAATTTCACTAAAAGAGAAACCAAAACCAAAATTAAATCACGACCCAAATTTTGTAACATGAAATTGAATAAAATTAACATAAAAATGATTAAAAAAATTGAAAGTGGAAATTGGGAAGAAAAACCTGGCGGGAATAAGAGCAAGATAAGTAACAGAGGAAGGAAGAAGCTGAACCACAATGTGGCCACCGATTAGTATCACTGCTAGTCCCTTGCATAGCTTTGTAAATCCACTGAATATCCCAGTTCCCTATAAATTTAAATTTAACAAAATTAAAAAAAAAAAGGATTTTGCATAAATTTATTATTATTATTATATTTTTTTGGCTTTTTAGAAGGGAAATTTGATGAAGATTTGGTTACCGGAGAGTTCATGGTATAGAAGTTGATATCCTTTTCCGGTGAACGGTGGAGTAATCTGAAAGAAAATGGAAGTGAAAGTAAAAGAATGAGATTTTGTTTTTCTGGGTTTCTTGTGTTGATATAATTTTTGGGTTTCTTAACGCTTTGGATCGGAGTGACCAAAGGGGTAAGGAAAGCGCGTGACTTGGAATACCGGAGAGCTATGCATTATTGTACATTTATAACGAGACAAGAAGTATTGTACATTTAATCTTTTCCTATTTTCGTACATCTAGTTTTGTTTTTTTAAAAAAAGGTGGCTTTTCTGTTTTTATAATGTTTATAAAATCATTAGATATTGAAATATTCAATAGCAAATAATTCATAATATTATTTTAGAAAAAGAAAATACCCAAATAAGCTTTTGAGTTTTACCCAAAAATAAAAATAAGCCATTTTCTATTATAAAAATTAAGATTATAACCTTTATTTTATTATAATTACAATTTTGATGGTATAAAATATTAATTTTTTGTTAAATTTTCTTAATTGAATGATATAATTAATAAAAGATATTTATTTAAAGTTGTTTGGATGAACTATATAACAAATATTAGATGAAATGCTACTTTTAAAAATTCTGATAATTGAATTTATTCATTTATTTCAAAATCTAATGGGTAATTGGGTATAATTAGAATGAAATAAAAATTTAGAATTTTAATTTCTTGAAATAAAAGCATAAATGACTTGTTTTTATTTTTTTAGTAAAATTTGATAATTTATTTGGATATTATTATTTTATAAATTAATGTTTTCCATCACAAAATTTTAATTTTAAATTCTAACAACTGAAATATTTCATCTAATTTTTTACATTCCATTCCTAAAAAATAAGTTTTCTTCACGTTTATGGATGAAATTTTAACTCAAAAGATTTTCTTTTTAAAGATACGATTCGACCCTCAAGTTATTGCCAAAGCCAGTAATATAAGAGGACAGAAAGTTTAAAATGGCTAAAAAACCAATTAATGTTGGTTCATGTTTGGAAAGATGAACAACGTTTATGCTTAATCATTATAAAAAAAAAACAAAAAAAAAAAACCATCACATTATAAATGATGATTGCATTTGACACGTACAATAAAACCATCTTGATCGTACTACTTTTTCATCCACACCCATTTGTTCCTCCATGGCAAAATCTTGAAACATGTTTTCTAATGTCCTTATAAGTTGAAACTCAAAAAGAGAATTATGTCATAGCTGAGATGAAAAGGAAACCGATTTCAATCATATCGTTTTTTTTTTTTCCTTGTTATGTCAGTTCGAGAATTAAACCTAGGAATGAGAGAAAATAAATTATTTTATGTTTAAATTTATTTAAATATATTTAAAATGATATGAAATAATAGCAAAATTTTTTTAAAAATTTTAATTCATAAAAATTAATAAATAAAACCGAATTAAATTAATAAAATTTAATTAAAATCAATTCAATTTCCAAAAAATGTAATTCAGTTATAAATTAATTCTTAAAAATTCATAATACAAAATACTATTCCTAAATCCAGATAATCAAATTGAATTCCATCCATTATCTCCACTAATAAAACCTAGTTTAGAAATGAGGGTCACTTTCAGATTCAACAAAGTAATTGAATATATTAATTGAATATAATATTATATATTTATATATTGGACATATCATATATCTATGAATACAGTTGAACGATGAAATTAGAAATTTTTTGACTACTTACTTGTATAGGTCTAGGATCGTACAAATTTATGCCAAAATTGTTACCGGTCAGCTTGGGAATCCACAGTTATGCTATGCTGGCTATTGCCTTCCTCCACCTTGCTGCGATTCATATACCTTGAACATGATAAACATTGCTGCAAGAACACTGGCGACAAAGTGTTTAAATCTCCCCTTTGGTGGTCGTTCAAGGCTTGAACGACCTATTATATATACATGTTGCATCAGTTTTGCAAATTGGCATCGTCCCATAAATAGCATATGATATTAGCTTCTCTCTCCCAAAGATCAGCTCCGGTTGTTTCACTCTCTGCAGGATTCATCTAAAGCTTCATGCACTGATTGCGAAACGTTTGGGAGAAAACGACACTGGGCCGAGGTAGGCTTCGGACAGAGAGACTAAAAGCCGATGAAAAGCCAGGGCTGAAGCAGCAATGAACATTACAAATGAAGCCCAGTAAAACCTTAACATTAACACCGGTTCTCTTCTTGCAGACTTTAGGATCTTGAAGAAGATCACCTTCAGTCGTCTGTCCCTCCAAAGGGACTGGTAGTCATTGCCGGTTGTAGTCGTAGCTAATCTAGAAGATGTACCTAGCTCACTATTCTGAGGCCCATCAGCCAACCTTAACCGGTAACTATACTGGCTAGCTGGCACACCTTGCCCAAGAGCTTCGAACGCCCATTGGTATAGGATATCAGCAATGATTTTGCATAGTTGGAATCGAAAGACCTTCGCCTCCTTGGAAACCACAGCTCGGACTAATGAAGCTCCATCCTGTTCATGCAAAGGCAAAATGAGTTTAAAATGCAAAATGCATATTTGAGAAAAGATTAGTTATAGCCAATGGTGATATCATTGCATCTTGGATGGGTAGCCATGCAAAGAGATGTACTCTGAATACATTCGATCCCGATGACCCCAACAAATTTACTAAATAATTCCAGCTTCCAGGTAAAAAATATAAGGTAATACACATATTGATGAAATTCGAATGCCTATCAGAGTTCAAAACATTTTCAAATAGGTGCACATTTCAGGGGCAACTTGCCATCAACCATCTCATCAATATGCAGGTAGGAAACACAGCATTCCATCTCCAAAAATCAAACTTAATGTACTCGCAAAAACAAAAAGTAGTGTTCTTTATGTTCAAGCGGTAATTCGGAAAGAAAAAGGAATCAAATTGAATGGTACTCACAGCAGTCATTATAAGTCTTCTAAGCACCATACCCTCCTTAGACGGCAAAAGCCTCAGCAACAGATATGCAATGTCAAATACACCATTAGTCCTATTTGCTAACTTATCTAAGGAAGTTTCACCACTCGAAGCTACCACCCGCTGCAAACTTTTTCTGCAGAAAATATCAGAATTAGAGCCCAAAAGTGAAAACTAAACACTATATTAAAAGCTATCAAAATTAAAATGAAAGTTTCATTAGAATGCCTGCCCCGAGAGCAGATGATGAAAATCAGGCATGGCTTGAGCAAACATTTCCTTAAACCACACCTTTTTATTAATTTAATATAATTTGTACATGGAACAATATTTACATGTTAATGCAAATTTCAAGTAATGTACATTTTATTAGTTTTATTTATTTGTAAAATATACAGCTATATGTTTAAAAATAAATTAAAAAAATAAAAAAAGAATTCAGGAGTGATGCTTGTGATAAAAATACTAGTGTTCAATAAATAAACACTTCATTTCACCGTGTGCCCTTTATTCGGAAGGACCCTGATTTCTGACTCTACTACCCTTCCTTTCTTTTCTTTCCCCTCTTATTGGTATATTTACAAACAGAATATGCAATGGAAAATGCCTCCAAATATGCATAACTTTGAAATAAAACTGTTTAAATTGTTAATGAATGACTCTTCCTTCCCCCCTTTTGATTTATTTTCAAACTGTATTTGCACAGTAAATACCTCTAAACATACATGAATTTCAAATTACAAAGCTTAAAACTTCTATGAGTAAATTTGATTTGTCAGTTTCAAAACAACATCATACAGAAATGGAAAATGGAGGAGGTGCCAGTCATGGGCGGGATCCCCCATAATATGGGTCATGGCATCATTGGTGATATGAAAAGAAAATGGTAAACCATGAGAGTTCATCATACCTAGTTGCACCTATTTTGAGGAAAACTGCTAGCCTCTCCCAGCGAAATTCCTTCTTTTTGTTCAAAACCACCTGAATAGGCAAAACTAAAATTGATTAACAACAAAATCAATTCCAAAATCAACTTAAAAATCTCCATATGTTTGCCTGGAGCGACCAACAGAAACCAGAGTTCAGTGCCCCACATAGCAGTGACCACTACAGTAATGTCCTAAGAACTGCACGATGCCCTTTACATTGATGGAAATTAAGAAGCAACTATTGTTTCACCTTTCTGAAAATATAAATTTTGAGAAGCTAATAGTGATTAAGTAGAAGTAGATCAGAGTACAATTCAAACACATAACTCCCATACATCGTGAAAGCTTTTAGTTCCTTTTCTGTAACATCCATACCCTAATACCGTAAAAACTAACCTAAAATATATTTTCATTTATAGCAGGACTGTACATGGGAACAAAACAGTTACTAATTGTTAACATCTATTGACAGAGACTTCAATAATGATGCATGATAAAGTGGTACAGGCATATAGCTCATAAATAAATTATGGTGTCAAACTGTTACCGAATGTAAAATTTTCCGTGTTTCAGCTGAATTTTCAGTTAGAAGTTTGTGGACAACAAAAGGATAAGCGGCCTCAAATGTCTTGAAACTTGGATCTGTGGCCACCGCCAAACCTGAAAGAATATCATGGAGTATGTTTGGTTAATTAAAGCCAGTTGGGGTGTTATGTAAGCTGGGTATAAAAGAACCAAGATGAACTACATGAATATTAAAACAAAACTGCAGCTGTCAATTAAATAAACATGGGGAATGGAAGAAAAATACTTAAGATACACTGTCAGAAGTGTTTCCCAGCCCACTTTGGTCAAAAGAATATTGACAATTATCATGTATAGATTAGTCCTTTTCTTTTTTTTTTCATTTTAGAAAATGGGACATGAAAGCAGATGCAGAGTCATATCACCTATCAGACAGAAAACCTAAAACTAAAGATATAGCCATTCCAGTTGACAAGGGAAAATTTGTTCACTTCACTCCTATGATTGATATTTTAATTCTTCTCCAGAACTCTTATAAGTTAATCCTTCAAAGTCTTTTCTTCACGAAGATCTTGAACAAGGGAACACCAAAAACTTGGACTGACTGAACTCAACTGAAGTCATTTCAGATCTATTCACAAATCAGCTCTGTTCAGCTATGTAGATCATTCAAATCACTTAGGCTTCGTTCCTCTGTCTGAGGTTCCATTAGTAATGATAAAAGTAGTAAGGCAACACTATTCTTTTTGTCGTATAAAAGTTTTAAGTTAAAATATTATCAAAATTATGCACTACAGACTTCTGAATTCTTTTTAACCAAATGCTTCTTCAACTTTCCATTCTTTATACCACTTTCAAAGGTCTTTGGGCAACACAAGGTATCGAGTCCTGAGATTACAATTTTACAACCCAGATGAATGAAAAAGAATAATCAACATCAAAGTTCAGACCAAATAAATAAACAAACCAAAACTAAGAAATCCAGAACACAATAACTTGCCTTCCAAGGAAGCAAGAGAACGCAGGACAAGTGTGTAATATGGCGGCATGCGGAAATGATATTTGAGAGCTACAGCCCATATTTTACCCAGAACCTTCAACAATATGACAATCAGCCACTTGGAGATATAAAGCAGTATGAAAAAAAAACTTTTGTTTTAATTTAGCTGGGGTCAGTGAGGCAGATCATGTAAAAGCACTAGCTAGCACGGAGAGTCAAAAGGGGAAAGCATGATAATAAGCATTTCCAAAGGAATCAATGTTATGAAATCAGCATAGAAATTTGTCATATCTCATGTCAGACTATAGAGAATGTGATAGTCTATAAGTCATTATGAGTTCATAGGCCTAAATATACTTTTGGCTTTTAAGTTGAAATTAAGGAACACAAACAAAAACAGAAAAGCAATGATGAACCCAATAGGATAAACAACACCTATATTTTTATTTCTAAACATGGATCATGCTTGAACTCAATACAAAATAAAAACAAAATACCAATAGCAAGTATTACTGTACATAGAAATTAGCTGATTATCCATTGATGTTAAACAGACACTATGTTCTGAGAAATCTATCAACCTACATGCTTTCTGAATAACAGTGAAAGGTTTCAATCAAAATCCAGTTGGAATTGACAACTTTACTAATTTGATTCAGATGCAGAAAAGCTATCATTTAAGCATATTTACACAGAGTAAGGTTCAAGATGAGATTCTCACCCTACTGAACTTGACATCAGGAATCCCATCTTTAAATTCTACCTCCCCCAGGGCATTCTCCAGATCCTGAACAATTTTCAAAATTCAGCCGTCAATACCATTGATAGGAATCTAAACAGTTACAAGATGACAAGAGCAACAAGATGAACTTGGCTTTATAGCATCAACAAATAGCAGAACATGTAGTCCTCTATAGAAACTCTAAGCTTAAAAACAAATTTGTAGTTTGTATATAGAGTCATAAAGGAGTAAATCATACCACTGTAACGCGCCGGATATTAGTTCCCGGCCTTACAACATCCATTTCAGTCAAAGCTTGAAGAAGGGATGACCAATCACCATTTACTATGTGCACTATGGATGCTAGCATCGCAAATTGATGCTTCTTTTCCATTCGACAAAGCAAACCAAAGTCCAAAAACCTGGGGTAGAAGTTACCAACGAAAAAGAAAGTTAAGTTAGTGAAGCAAAACCAGAAGCTGTTCTAACACATAGAAGGCAAGTCAAGTGTACCCTATCTGCCCTGATGTTGTGTAACGTAAGTTTCCAGGATGTGGGTCAGCATGCAACAAGCCTGTTTCAAGGAGTTGAGTAAGCGATGCCTGCACTCCTTTGTTAACCTAAAATAGTTATAGCAGAAAAGATACCAATCAATTGCAAATAAATTGTGGCTAGGTCACAATGGCAAAGCATTCCATATGCCAGCTATATAAAATTAGCTTCTTTTCTTTTTTTTGTCAATAGAAAATTAGTTCTTAACAGCCACTAACTGTAAGGAAAAAAATGCAATCCCGATCTAAGTGCCCTAATCTTTTTTTGGTACAAAAAATCTATGGGTAGATAAGTCGCTTCTAAGTGCCCTAATATGGCACCCAGGAGGACTGACGTGATACCAAAATGTGACAATTTATTCAAAACAGCAGATTAGAGGCCTTCAAATTTTAAATATAGTTCAAACCTTTGACGTCCATCTCCTACTCATATTCTCAACTGCCAATCCAAAATTTTTTTGCTAGTTAAGCAATGCTGTTTGATGTTATCTGTACAACTTCTTGGCAGACAAATAAAAGAAGATATTCTAGTTTGCACCATATACATAGCAAGCTTCTTTGTACCAATTGATGAATAATCTGACAGCATGTTTATCACTTTAACACACACACACACACATATATAGAGAGAGAAAGAGAGAGAAAGAAAGAATGAGCAATACTTGTTTATAAAAGATATATGATATTTTGAAATCACTCCCAGTTATTCTCAGGCAAATCACTCAGCTTGGTTGAAAATTCATGTGATTATACATTTGCCATAGTCAGTCACAAACTGACAGGTCAGAAGCAGAACTCCATTGCGTACAAAGTATCACATACTAAGCATAGAGTTAATAAAAGTCATAAGCATAAAGAAAATATATGCTAATCGCTACTCACTAGATCAAGAAGACGTCTTTTTGCATCAACTTTCTGCCTCTCTAAATATTTAGAGCCATGGTTGATGGAGTTGCTCGTAGTTACAGAGAGTAAATCAGTTGGACTCTCACCAACCATCCACTCCATGGTCAAAACTCTCTTCCTAGATAAATGTTGAAATACTTTTGGAACTTGCATAAACGAAAAGTGAGAATGAGCTTCCTGTAGAAGACACATCCAGTTAGAGGAAGAAAGTACACTCTTTCCAAGGCAAGAACTGAGCAACAGAAAAAAGATGCGAGTAAGGAAAAAGCTAATCCAAATCCTTGATCTGCCACCAACCGAAGTTAATCTATTGCAAAAAATTCATTCTCTTATCTCTACCTTAATTTTCAAGGGAAGGCCTCAGCAGGCTGAGGATATTTCACAGGAGATAACTTTGGCCAACTTTAATTACTAAGCTCCCCTTATGGTGACTAAAAATATGTAACCTTTCCTGGAAGTTTCTCTGTTATGTATTTATATTTCCCAAAAGAACTAAAAATTTAAACAGATAATGCTATCAATACCAGAAATTCAGAAGCATTGGCAGCCTCCAAAGTGTAATCAAGTTCCCCAACTAAACCTTTCCCGAGCTCATCAGCATATAGACGAGGGTCACTTTTTCGCTTTGCTATCTTTTGCAACAGCCCCAGCTGAAAAAAGAAACTCAATCACTAAGTTTAAATCATTAAGGAATTGAATGCTCAACCACATAGAGAAACACTGTTAAGGATGTAAATTCCTACCCCAAGGCGTAAAATATAAATATCTCGCACTACCACATGAAGCAGATTAGGACGTTGAACTTTCACAGCAACATCAAAACCATCCAGAGTACTCCCACGGTAGACCTAAAAGTGATTAAAACAAGATCACAACAAATGCACTGATGTGACTTATATAAGAAAAAAAATAAAATATAGAGATCACATGATATATGGTATTTAATAGCAGACCTGACCAAATGATGCTGCAGCTACTGGTTCCTCAGAGATGTAACTAAAGAATGATCCAATAGGAGAACCTAAGTCTTCCTCCATAATTTTCATAGCCACAGTCCTTGGGAAGGGAGGAATTTGATCATGTAGCTCAGATAATGCCTGCCATCATAACTCAACCCAGATTATCAAAGCATTAGGTGTACTAAAAACTGTAGAAAATCAAGGAGAAGATGAGAAACTTCATATCTATATCATGTATCCCAGAAACAGATTAGCACACATTCAAGCATAAATTAATAGCAGAAATTCTCAAGTCTGAAGTCTGAACCATAACAATTAATAAATGAAGAAAAGAAACACAAAGCATTTTCATATCATGATAAACAATTTAAAAACCAAAAACAAGTTATTCAATTTTTTATGAGATTTAGTCAATAATATAACACAAAAAATTGAAATTAAAGACATACATAAATGCATAGGAGGAATGCCTAATTTTGCTGAAGTGAATTATCTAACCATTACAAGAAACTATATTAACCAAAATTTAATAGTATGTTAAAAGGTTCCCACATAAGATACAGCAAATATAGAATGTGAAAATTCTCTATAATTTACCTTGGAAATTTCAGGACCAATAATATCCGGTCTTGTGGAAAGGGATTGACCAACTGCATCAGTAAGCAAAAGCATATAACTAGCATAATGGTAAGCTAGTGACTGCAGGAGAAAAATAAAATGCCCAGCATATAACTCAATGAAAAACAACTATCAAGAAGATGCAAACAGCAAAATAAGTGCACAAACTTCAACTAGACCATATTTCTGACCTTTGATAAAAGTGGGACCAAGGCTTAGCATTGTTTCTTTTAACACCATTCCAAAGTTGTACTGCGACAAGTTCTCATCAATACCCTTAGCTGAACCTGGTCTTAAGAACTCTTTTACCCCAGACATTCGAATTCTAATCGCGGCAGAGGCGAAAGACGAGAACACCTAGCAGAACACAATATAGTTAGCCCAAACAGAATGGCTTGGTATAACTAATTTTTCATAGCGATAATATCAGAGAGGCCGGGAACATTGAACAGTAAATCTAATAGAAAATGTAGCTAATCTCAGAAAGGCATATTTTAGGAAGTAGATTGAATTTCAAAACAGAATTCAGGAATTATATGGTTATAGATCCCGTTATTTTATCTTATTACAAAGTGCATAAGTTTATAATCATGCCTTGTCTGCCCCATGTGCATATTAACTAATAAGCACCCCTCATTATACAATTTAGACTTCCTCTGGTTGTTCTTTCTTTTATTTGCATTTTGCTTATTTATTCTGAGAAATTACTACAAGTTAAAAGCAATAAACAAAAGGAAAATACATATTTGATTAAAATAAACAAATTGTTACAATGTAATACACATTTACACATAATTATTCTAGATAAAAAAAATCTTATTTTATTATTCACAAAAATGTTATTCTCTTAACTATTTCAAAGCTTTCATTTGCTTTTCATTCCAAATGATCTGCTTGTTTTTTCCTTTCAGAAGCAAAAAGTAAAACATACATTAAGATACAAAAGCAGATAATCATAACTTTTAAAGAAGTAAAAATTAAAATTGTAATTTTTGAGGCAATTGAAATGCATGATTTAGGTTTAGTCAATGTGGTCCGTTGGTAAAGTACTAAACTCTTAGTTCTAGTGACCAGAGTTCAATCATGGCAACCCAAGTACTAAAAAACTGAAATGCATGATTTAGTTTTTGTCGAGAATAATTATATATTTATATTAGAATCAATACCTCATTTTCTGATTTTTTTCATTTTGTTATCCAAAACTTCAAAGACAGCCATTTTAGTCATTTTGTTTATTTTTAATCAATAAAATTTTTTTCTTTTACCATTTACTTTTACATTTTTAGCAACCATTTTAAAGGACAAATAGAAGAAGTTCATAACAAGGTTGATCAATAGTTTTAACAACCTCAAGAAGCCGAAAGGCCACTACATGAGGCCGACGACGGAAATAATCAACTACTTCTTCTGCATCATAAGCTTCTGGGAGTGGCTTTGACCACTCTTTTGATTGGTAGTAGAAATGACTAACATAGGCTTCCAACGCTTTGAGATCAGCCATCATCAAATCCAAACCAGACAGTTCTATCAAAAAATCATATTCCATTATCAATAACTAAAATAGACTAAATTAAAACTAATTAATTTCATCTAATTTCACCAAATATAAAAATCACAATGAAATAAAGGAAAATTTTTCTTCTCTTTGTTCATTCCTCCTTTGATTTTCTAAACCAAAGATGAGAAAATATAACAAAATTTTCTCTTCATTTTCCTACTCTTTCTCTCCATTTCTCTCAATCCAAACACCACCGAAATTTAAATAAAATTTGCAACTGATTAATTAGTTACTAATTTCACCAAATATAAAATCAAAAAATCAAAAAGAATTTTCTCCTATCTTCCTTCACTTCTCTCTTTATTTTCCTTCTCTTTAATTACATTTTTCAACAATTAATTAATTACTACTTTGGCAAAAAAAAAAGTTTCAAACCTAACCTGGATAATAAGGTTGAGGCCACAGTGGCGATTGCGCAGGCGGCGAGAAGTGAGGATCCTCGAAATTTCGAAGCCAAACAAAGTCGTCCAAAGCTTTCTTCACCTGAGGAATCCGAAACGTTTCGTTCGCCCACTCCGCTCCTCTTTTAACTCCTTTCTTCAAGAACTCCATGTCTCTCTGTACAACATCACCAAAATGACTAAAATTACCAAAAACCATCTGCACTTGTCGTTGTTGTTGTGGTTGCTGCAGCTTTCCCCGCTGCCTTTGCTTTCTCCTATACGTCGTCGTTTTTACTACTCTTCTGTTGTCCCTCAGCGCAGTCACCGGAATCGCCGCCGTCAGCGACGTCGTTAAAGCCATCCTCCGGTTTTTCTTTTCTCTTTTTCTTGTTTTGCTTTTAATTTTTTGGAAGGTTTTATTAATTTATAATCGGAAACTGAAAGGAGTTTGTGGTTCTGGAGAGGAGAGTGGAGATGGAAAGAAGGCGGTGAAATGTGAGGATTCTAAGCGGTCAATCTCAATAAAGTTAATGCTATCAAAGAAGATTATTTGATAAACAAATTGATCATAAATTTTTTTCCAATTGTAACCGGACACGTTTCGAGCTTATGTAGATTTAAGATGAGACCAGAAGGTCGGTGGCCTGTTTTCACGGCAGTAAAAAAAAATTTTGGCAGTTGGCGCTGCAAGCTAGTAGACCGTTGAGGAAACATTGTTCTTTTATTATATCCACATAATTTAATTTTTATAAAAAATATATTTTGAAATTATATTTTTATAAGTGTTCAATTAATTAGATAATTTTTTATTTTTTAAAGTTTCTTGAAGCTAGTTTTACATTTAAAAAATGGCCAATTATTGATTTTTTATATTCATATAAGATAAATATATTTATACAATAGACGGTGATGATAAATTTTTTAGAAAAAAGTTTATTTTATTGCATAAATGTTTTAATTTTTATAATTATGATTAATTGATTTTGAAATTAAAAATTATATTTAGTTTAAAATAAACTAAATCAATCTCACTAATTATTTAACATATCTAAGATTGGTAGCGCAACCAGAACCCAATATGATCTAACATCATATGATCGAATTTATTTTTTTGAAAATTAAATTTCAGTTCGGATCAGGTATTATTAAGAAAAAAATTGGGATCAGATTTTAGGTAAATTCAATCAAATTTGACTCGATATTATATTAAAAATTATTTTTTAATTATATATAATTATATTTTTATATTTTTAAAAATAATATTTTATTAATTTTGAATCACATTAAATTAGATACAATTTATAAAATATCGATCGAATTCAAGTATAAAAAATAAAAAAATTTTAAATATAATTCAGAACAAATAAAAATCCATCCCGACTTGTTACCAACCATAAACATATCTTTCAATTAGCATTTTTTTTAAATATGAAATTTATCAATTACACATAAATTGGGTTTTTATAATTAATGGATATAAACTCCATTAATAAATTAATTTTAATTAAAATTTTATTTAATTATATTTTATAATTATAATTTAAAAATATATTAATAACACATTTTAAAAAATAAAATTTCACGTGCAAGACAGTAGATCCGCTACGAGCATATAAAAACTATAATAAAATAGGCTTCAATTGGACCATCTTTTCGTTTTTGACCAAAAGAGTTTTAATTCAACACTTAACCTATATAAAAATTTTTAATTCAACAATGTAACCTATATAAAAATGAAAAAATGAGTCAACAGTCAATAATTCATTGTAAAGTATAAAATGTTTAATTTTAATAATTAAATTTAAATATAAAAATTTTCACTGTAAGAAATTTGAATTCAGATCCCAAGCAAGCAAATGTAATAATTATTGATTGCTATTACGGCGAATAAAGTCATAAATATCAATAGAAGTTGGGGTAAGTTTTTAAGATTTAAAATTTAAATGTAAAACATTTAAATTCAAATTTTTACAATAACTTATTAATAAATAATTTATAAGTTCGAAATGTTAAAAAAAATTCATAAATCCTTTCACAAATTTACGATTTGTCTTGATTTTAAAAATAAGATAACCTCACCTACTTCTAATTATTTTTTTGACAAAAAATATTGTCATAAATAAATAGTTTGATGTGATTATATATATATTTTTTTCATATTATAATAAAATGTATCGTATTTAGTTTAAGATAAATAATTACAAGTCGCATATTCAAAATAATTCTAACAAATGATCACTGATAAAATTTAAATTCAAAATTTTTTCATCAAATAAAATGATTTTAACCAATTAAACTATCAACTTGTTGCGTAGCCCAATTCTTCGACCCCTATTGTTATGCAATGAACAATACAAACCAGAATCAACGAAGAATTTATTCATATGGTAAAGAAAATAGTTTTTTTTTTATTAATTAGGATTCAATTTTTGTGAGAAATATTCAAGCAATATAATATTAAATGCTATAGATTGAAGTTAATGTCTTTAAAATTATGCAAGAAAGATATTAAATTCAAGACAAAACTTGAGATTTTTTTTTAAATATAAAAATAAATTTAAATTTTTTGAAAAATATCATGAAATTTTAATTTAATAAATTTAAATGTAATAAATAATTATTTATTAAAGTTAAAATCAATCTAAGCCATATATTTTTATTTATCCTGAGTAATCCCTAAATCATAATGCATATAAATGGTGACTTTTACATCAAGATTTTATAGTGATTTCTACGAGCTCAAGTCTATGAGATAGTTAGTCATCAAGTATGAAATATTTTGGCCAAAAAATAAAAAATCAAGTATGAATTATGACCTGCCTCATTCGCCAAATTTGATAGAGGCGAAGATCGTTGTCTGAAGCAGCAAAATCCTTGTCAAAAACCAATTTTCAACCGAATCATATCCCCTAATACAATTGAATAAAATCTAAATGGCTTCAAGCTCGGTACCCTAGAAATACCAGGGAATGTACAAAGAATCTAAGTTTTCATGTAGATTTTATTATCATATCATTAATTGAATTTAAATATTAATTTTAATAAAATTAAATAAATATACATTTTTTATTAATTTTTTTTTCAATCATAATTTTCGTAATTTTTTTAAATTATAGTTATAATAATTTTATTATTTTTTTTAATCTCATGACTAATTTTATTACCCATCTAAATAAAACCTAAGCTGATTCATTGCTTATGAGTTATGCTTGTAGGTTACTTTTTTTTTTTTTTTTTAATATTGGAGATTGAGAAAGGATGGAAATTTTATAAAAAAATATTAGTGTTGAAATTTGAAATTAAGTTATGTCGGAAGTAATTTTTTTATAAAAGTTATATAAATTAATTAAGTTGAGTTTTGAGACTATGACTTTGTCAAATGTTCTTCTCACTAATTGTTTTAATATTTTTAAAATAAATTTGTTCATGAATCAAATAAATCCAACAGATTTTGTGGTTATGATTTGATGTAAACAGGATCTTGAGAAAAAAAATTTTAAGTTTGAGCCCGTTGAATGTTACTTTTTATTGTGATTATATAAATTAATTATGTTGAATTTTAAGTCGGATTATGAGTGGTGTTAAGTGTTTTTTTATTCTTAAATATTTATTCTTTTTAGGTGGATTAATTCATTGGTTGAACTGCTTAATAAATTTGCCGGTTTGACTTGATTTGTGTCAAACATTAAGAAAGATTTATCAAATTTAAATTTGGTTCAAAAATTATTTTATTAATAATTTTATTAATTCTAATTTTAAAATATATTTAAAAATATTAACATATTAACATAAAAAATTTAATATTCTAATGCTATTTTCAAAATGAATGAATCTAAATGAACAAATCGAATAATTTAAACTCGAATTTAATATTTAAAAACGTTAACAAAATTTGATATAATCCAACCCTGCCTGACTTTTTATAATCTGTCAAGCAAAAACACCAAGAACACATCCATTCTCCCCCTCCCAAATGTATCACCCACCAAATATCGACAAATTCCACGTGGCCCAATAACATAACAATTGCTACCATCCCTTAGCCAATAACAATCCACTTTTAGATTCCCTCCAAATACTACAACTACCTTTATCCTCCCCTTTTCCTTGGTTCCCCCAAGCCCCAAAAACCAGAACCATGGCAGCCAACACAGTAATGAGTTGTGGCATAGCCACCGCATTCCCTGCACTTCTTTCCTCTTCCAAGTCCAAGTTCGCCGCCTTGGTGCCATTGCCTAGTGTTGGTGGTGCCAATGTTAGCCAGCGTGTTAGGATGTCAGCTGACTGAATGGCTGGTCAGCCTAGGCCGCCTTACCTTGATGGTTCAGCCCCAGGGTAAGATTTCAAAGTAGCTAAAAAAGAACAATTCTGTTTTTATTGTTGAAGTCTTTCTTACAAATAAAGCTTTTTTTTGATTTTAAAAATAAAGCTTCTTTTTTTTTTGTGTTTTTCAGTGACTTCGGATTTGACAAACTAAGACTTGGTGAGGTCCCTGAGAACCTTGAAAGGTACAAGGAGTCCGAGTTGATTCACTGCAGATGGGCTATGCTAGCTGTTGTAAGTGTTTCTTTTAACTCTTAAATGTTCGATTTGAGACATAAAACATGAAATATGTATATATATATATATATATTTTTTTTTATTTTTACCAAATTTATATAAAAGTTTTTATTAAAATTTTAAATGGTATCAGGTTTCATGTCTTTTTATATAGGTTTGTGTTGTATCTAAATTGGCAGGTTTACCTTTGTGAAAAATTGGTAAATTTTGCTAAATTTTGATGTATGTAAAAATTTGCAGCCTGGAATCTTGGTACCGGAGGCCTTGGGGTATGGAAACCAGGTAAAGGCTCAAGAATGGGCAGCAATTCCTGGTGGACAAGCTACTTAGGCATCCCTGTTCCATGGGGTACTCTCCCTACCATCTTGGTCATTGAATTCCTAGCCATCGCCTTCGTTGAGCACCAACGCAGCACGGAGAAAGACACCGAGAAGAAGAAGTTTCCTGGTGGAGCTTTCGATCCCTTGGGGTACTCCAAGGACCCCACAAAGTTCGAGGAATACATGGTCAAAGAGATCAAGAATGGTAAACCCTTCACGCTCTTTGCCATTTCCATTTTTCTTGGGTTGCAAGTTAGTTTAAACAATCAAATTTGGGTTTTCAATTTCATGATTGATTTCGTTGTTAGGTAGGTCGTCTTGCATTGTTGGCATTCGTAGGATTCTGTGTTCAACAATCAGCTTACCCTGGCACTGGACCATTGGAGAACTAGGCAACTCACTTGGCTGATCCATGGCACAACAACATTGGAGATATCATCATCCCCAGATCAATTTTGCTTTGATGATGATGATGATGATGATGGAATCTGTAATCATATGTCCATTCTCTCATTTTAAAACTCCATGTAATCAGATGTAATGAATCATAATTTCATGACTCTGGTATATGTGTAATATTTTACGAGTTTCATGACGATGAAGCTGAAGCTGAAGCAGAAGCCTCCTCCCCCCATTATTCTGATACCAGGATTCCCATACTTGATGCTTCCAACACTCTCCACGATAAAATTATCACTGAAAAAATAAAAAAACTTTTCCATCGTTTACCATATTCTACATACAAGGAAAGCAAATTTCCTTTGTTTGCAGCCTTTTTCTAGACGATGGAAAATCTTTCTTTTCCCAGGGTTTACTTCTCCTTCTCTTTGTAATTTTCTTCCTTGCATTCCAAAATCAACCTGATGAATGGAAAACTTGGCTATTGTTCTCTACGGCTGATGATTAAAAGCAAGCCCATTTTGCTTGAAAATTGATGTTTTAATTACTTTTTGTTTAGTCTAATGGAAAAAAAAAAAAAAAGGAATCCATTATCCATGCCATGGTCAGTCTTCTTATTCTTGTATTTAGAATACCAATGCCTTCTCTGGTGGCATGAGGCTTGTTCCCTGGTATCTGAAATCTGTGAAGTGAAAAATTGTATGATGACTTGATGACCTCTTTGATAACACACTACTCTTGCTTTTCCTCCTGTCTCTGTTGTTGTATTGTTCACAGAGAAAGAGTATAGGGTGGAAATGTATTAGAGCAAGGCGAATACTTGAAAATATTCCCTAAAAACCCCCACATCTGATTGCTGGCTGGACCCTAGTATTTCCTTGATGCATTTCTGTTTGAAGGAAATCCTGAGCATTGGAGATCAGTAACAATGGATTTTGAAGTTATATGGTGAAATTTTTCAGAAAGAAAAGAAATTTGAGAAAGATATTTTCCTGATTATGGAAGAGGAAGTGATCGATTAGTATTTATGAGCCTCAGCACGGATGCATTTGGTTATTACACCTGTTAAAAATCAAGTTTCTGCATCTGGTGGTATATATGTGATGGTTTCACAAGATTTCAGACCTATTAAGCTAAAAGTGAAAGCATGATGCATTTAGAGCAATAATGGTTGCTAAGTTGATCCATGCAATCATCTTTAAGTGATGACATCCGTTCAAATTTCAGTACATATAAACTCTTATCTTTATAATTTAATGATTGTTGATCTTCTAAGGAATGACCGTGGTCGTGCCTGTAAACCAGTCACTGTTCATGTGCCACATCTCATGGAAGTATGGAATTGGAGTCTAATGCAACTGTTCATACAATGGTGAGTACAATCCGGGGAAAAAAGCAGCCAAATGTTAGTGCTGTTTGGTGTGTCAAAGCAGCATTTTGTGGTGGTTCAATGACGGGCTCCAAAGTTGAGGTCAATGGAACTTTTATTGGGCTCCATCGGATTTTTCTCATACAATTAGACATTTGATCTTAATATTGTGATAAAGAACAGTTGTCATACATGAAACTGAAGCATCTATAGGGGCAGAAGTGGCCATCGTTGCCCTATCAGATCCCGAAAAGGAGGAGGAAATGGTTTTGAAAACACCTGGTCCAGCCAAGGCTGTGATGGAATTTCAAACAATGATGTTTCTTAACTTTGTACTATAAAATGATGACAATAAAAATTTATATGAATTTGGAATGTGGTTCCCCTTTTATTAATCATATATTCATATCCGAGTTTACGTTGTTTTGTTTTGCTTCTGTCTCATATTGTTGGAAAGGTATTTGTTTTGACTGTTCTTTATTTGCACCCTAATTTTTTTAATATATTTCAAAATTTTAATATTTAAAAAATTATTTAAATATCTATTAATTAATTATTTTTTTGTTTTTTATATTTCATTCTAAAATTTTATTTTTCCAAAACTCTTAAAGGTTTCAAAAATGGATATCCAAAACTTTTAAAAATTTTTAAAAATCGATTTTAGAAACTTTCAAAAACTTCAAAAAATTTATTTACAAAAATTTCGAATCACATTCAAATATTTTAACATGAAATATTATGAAATTAAATATAAAATTAAATGAAAAAAATAAAAGAACAAATGATTTGTTTTAGATTTGATGCTTTTTAACTTTAAATAGGTAAAAAATTTTTTTGAATTTGAGTTAATTTAAACTTAAAATTTTTTTAAGTTTTATGTTAAATTTTTTTAATTTTTGGTAAATTTGTGTATTGAATTTGAGGTGTACTAAAAAAATTGATTGTTAATAGCCGTGGGATACAAAGAGAGGAAGTTACGCTGTAAATAGCACCGCTCTTTATTTTTCCTAAATTATTTTTATTACCAATTTTGCCCTCAATAACAATCTGCAACTAGTATTAGAAGGGCAGGGTTGGTAGTTGACTCTCCCCATTGTCGCATTTTACAGTTTGGGAAAGGTTTTCTTTTTGTTTTAAGAGCAATAATTATTGAATTTAAGAAGTAAGAACATGGGTTTTAGTCCAATTATTTATCTAATCATATTTTAAAAAAATAATATTTAATATATTTAAAATTTAAATTTTATTGTCAATATTTTTTTTCTTAAATTAAATTTCTATTCAAATCTATTTTATTATTATGAGTTGAGCTAACATCAAAGTATTGTTTGACTTTAAATTGAGTGCTCAAAGTTTTAAGTCTAAATTATCTAAATTTGAATAGAGAAGAATTAAATAATGATAATTAAAATTTTTTTCCTTTTTTGCTGGTATCATAATTTTTTTAATATAAACAATTAATAAATATTTATAAAATAATAACTAATGTTAACAAATTAATAAATTTATTTAATTGAAACTCTTTTAATGTATAATTTAAAAATAAAATTTAATTTTTAATGATTTAAAATCATTAATTTATATTTTTACTGCATATTAAAATATAACAAAATTATATTAATTTAAAAATTAAATTCATGATTAAATTTATTAATAATTATATTTATATAATTTGAATTTAATTTATAATTTTTTATACTACTCAATGTAAATATAATTTAAACTAAAAATTTAAATAATACGAGATAAAAAATATATTAATTCATAATTAATTAAGTTCATGAATTATTAAAACAATCCAGTAAAAAAAAAACTCAAATAAATGGAAGTGGAATTAGTAAATTTTATTTGTTTTACTTTTACATGAAAAAAATGGAGGTTAGGTGAGCCTGTCTCTCTTTTGTAGAGTTAACTAACGAAGCAGAACCCCGAAAAAAGCATTGAGAATCACAAAATCCAACAACCAAAACCCACCAACCCACCCTTCCTTCCCTTCTCAAAAAGCTTCTGCTTCTACCAAATCTTTCATTTTTATTAGCTCAATCTCTTCTTCATCCCTTGCAAGCTCTACCTTTTTTTTAAGTTGTCAAAGTTGTCATGGCTTCTTCAATTACATCCAAGCCTTTCCTTGGAGCACCTAAACCCAGCTCTTTTCTTTCTTCTGATCTTCAAAGAATATCTTTTTCCTCTCTTCATATCTCAATCAAACCGAGAACCCACAAAAAGTTTCGTAAGTTTTTTCTTTGAGCTTCAATTTCAATTGGGTTTCTGTATTTTTTATGATTTTGTTGATAAAGATCTTGTTTTTGACTTTGGGTTCTTTTTTCTATTGTTTTTATCTTTTTGGGTATTGGGTTTTTTAGTTGTTGCTGTTGAAGTTAGTAGTTTATTGGAATTTGTGAATTGGAAATAAAAGTTCTGATTTTTTATGTTGAATTTCTTAGCAATATACTTCTTTGTATAGAAAGTGCTAGTCAGTCAAGTTTTTGTGTTGTGTTATATTTTGTGTGTATTTTCAGCATAGGACTCAATTTAACTATGTTTGGAGCAATCACTAATAGTGCTTTGCCATCAGGTTAATATAATGTTAGTCATCATTTTGTGTTTTGTTAGAGAAACATTATTTTCATCACGCAAAAAGACATTCATGGATGTCTGTACGGTATTACAATGATGTACTCTTATGTACAGTTAGTGGCCATAAATGTCGACTTTAGGCAATATTTTGTGTCAGCATTGAAATCTTTCTATACAAAATAAAGCGAAAGTTTGATATAAGGTTCAGATGCTTGTAGTTGCTAAGTTGTTATGTTCATGTGTTTTGACCTGGGAATGAACTGTTGTGATCAATGAGATTTTTAAGATCAATAAACACTATAGGCTGAGATACGCCTAGGGATCTATAGTATAACATACTAGTGATTTGATTTGGTTTGAGAGTTTTCATCATTGAGATTTGTAGTAACATGTTGCCATTAGGTCAAGACATCTTCTGGTGTCTCTAAATTAGATTGGAATGGTTCTTTTGTGTGATCATGACCTGGAGACTCTCTTAAACTTGCTTGCATCAACTTTATGTGAAGCATTAGGGCAACTGGTTTTCTACCATTGAAAACCGCTACTTTTAGGATGTGGTTTTTGTTAGGTTATGATAGAAGCTTAAATTGTGTGTTTGTTAGACATTGTGCATTGTTATTGTGTCTTTGCGACTCCTGTAATATTATGAGAAACAATTTCTCCAAAAAGAAAAATGAGGTAAAGTTGAGCTTCTGAAGTCTGACAAAGTGTGTTGCTTAACAGAGATACGGGCAGCTGGGAGCACATTTGGAAATCATTTCCGTGTTACAACATTTGGAGAATCTCATGGAGGTGGTGTTGGTTGTATAGTTGATGGGTGTCCTCCTCGGATTCCTCTGTCAGAAGCTGATTTGCAATTTGATCTTGACCGAAGGTACTTGATTATGAGAACTTAGCATTATTGCTTTAATCCTTTTGCTTGCCTTTTGATGAAGATTGCGTATTCTTGTGGTAGAATTGTGTGATTAATGTTCATTGCATGTTGATCTAATGTTAGTGCTTACAAATAGGGTCTGCCTATTAATGATAGAATGTAGTAGTATAACTTCCCTTAATCATATAATTTCTCCTCTCTTTTGATGCAAATTTCTTCATCATTGTGGATTAACAGTCAATAATTTTTTGCAGGAGGCCAGGTCAGAGCCGAATTACTACCCCTAGGAAAGAGACTGACACATGCCGAATATCCTCTGGAGTTTCTGAAGGTTAAATCTTTTTTTCCCCTGGGTCTTCCAAATTTCTAGTGTTATGTTCAGCCATCAGTGTTTTGTGTATCTACTTATGTCACAGTTCTATGTTTTGTGTTTAAATGGATGTTCCATGACAAACTGCAGGAGTGACTACTGGAACACCAATCCATGTATTTGTACCAAATACTGATCAGAGAGGACATGTGAGTATTTACTTATAACATGTTATCGGGGTCTAAATTGGGAAAACTAAAAGGAGGTTGAACAATCCTTTGGTTGGTGTTTTTAATCCCACATACAGTTTAAAATGGTTGCAGTATAGTTTGAATTATCTTTTGAAGTTAATGTAATTCACATCTCTCAAGGCTCATTGAGCAATTCTAGAGCTTATAACTGCTTCTGGATAGTGAATGAGACCTCATTAATTAATCAACTGATGTAACTATACAAACAGTAGTTATCAGTTAGAGTTAGAAAATGTGCAACTGTATAGTAATTTGGAGTGAAATCTAGTGAATAATTTCAGTTTTGGATCATGACTCTAACATGTGAGCAAATTTCAAGGAACTCATACATATTAGGAACATTTGCTCAAATTTGAATTCATTATTTCTTCTTCTGGGCTCTAGAAGGATTCATTAATGATGTCATTCTAATCTCAGGATTATAATGAAATGTCAATAGCTTATAGGCCCTCTCATGCTGATGCCACTTATGACATGAAATATGGTGTCAGAGCAGTGCAGGTAATGCCTTTTAATATCAACCCAGTATTATGGATTCTGCATCATTTTAAGAGATGGAATTTTTTTAGACCCAATTGATCTGATTTCAACTTGAATTTGAAGGGTGGTGGTAGATCTTCTGCCAGAGAAACCATTGGAAGAGTTGCCCCTGGAGCTATTGCTAAGAAAATTCTCAAGCAGTTCTCAGGAACTGAGGTATGTTTCAAGCTAGTGGGATTGATCTCTCTTATGCTTTCTTCTTGTTATATGTGATCCTAATTCACTGCATCTATTCTCTGAATTTATGATAATGCTTGTACTTGGTGCAGTAGTTGTGTGGAGTTTTTGCGTAATTTGTTTGCACTTACTGGTCACTGCAGCATAGCTGCAACTATGTTTTCAGGATTCAATGCATACGAGCGCAGACTCTACTTCCATTATTGAATCATATTTCTCTATATATTTTTGGGCTTCTTCTTAATGTTTATTTGTCTTCAGGTTCTTGCCTATGTCTCACAAGTTCACCAGGTTGTGCTTCCACATGGTTCAGTTGATCATGACACTGTAACTCTTGATCAGGTTTTGAACTCAGCTCAATTCTTTAAGCCTTGATTTCAAACTGATAGTGGTTGGTTACAAGAGTTTTTTTTTTTTTTTTTTCATTTCCTCTAATTTGATGTCATAAGTTCTGAAAGGCATTTATTCCAAGATATATTATGCAATTCAGTCTACTTTCACCCTTGTACTTCACCTAGTTTGTTGACTCCCCTTTCATTTCTGAACAACTTATTGTAGCCATTATCTAACTATTTTCTACTAAATGTTGCCAGATAGAGAGTAATATTGTAAGGTGCCCAAATCCTGAATACGCTGAGAAAATGATTGCTGCTATTGATGCTGTTCGGACGAAAGGAGATTCTATTGGTGGTGTTGTCACATGCATAGTGAGAAATGCCCCTCGTGTATGTCTTCTTTCTTGCTCTTTCTCATGCTTACATGTTTCATGTGCATGGACCTTTGCTCATTTTTTAAATTTTAGGTTGCTCTTGACCTTAAAATGATGGAAATGCTTTAATTTATAGCGGCCAAACTCTCATAGAAGTTTTCTACAGAACTGAAAATCTGTATTTGTTTGTCAGGGGCTTGGTTCGCCAGTTTTTGATAAGCTTGAAGCAGAGCTTGCTAAGGCTGTAATGTCGTTACCTGCAACCAAAGGATTTGAGTTTGGCAGTGGATTTGCAGGTTAAGAGATTTTTATTCTTTTATGGTACTAATGTTGCATTGCCTAAAAATCTTTTGAATTGAGTTGGCTGACGGGTGAAACATACTTGAAGTTTATTACTTGCATGGTTATTTCTTGCTTAGTTGCGTCATAAGTTTGTTCCAAGAACTGTTCCATATTCCAGGTACTTTTCTGACCGGTAGCGAACATAATGATGAGTTCTTTACCGATGAACATGGAAGAATAAGGACTAGAACCAACCGCTCTGGTGGGATACAGGTAGTTATTTTTTCTGTTATTCTGTGTGTCTGTGTCTCCCTAGCAACACTATTGGGCTTCAATTGCCAGTGCGACAAATACAAGCTGATGTATTTTTAGTCTCCAAGTTCTTACTTGTTGGGCTAAATCCATGAGTTCAGCATGAGAATTATGAGATTGTAATGTTGACTTACAGGGTGGAATATCCAATGGGGAAATTATTAATCTGAGAGTAGCTTTCAAGCCAACAGCTACAATTGGTGTAAGTTCTTTTTGCCTGCTTATTTGTTTCCTATGCTGTGTGATTAGTATGATTTGTTTTATATATCGCTGTATCATATAATATTTTACTAGAAATTTGTCTGTGCATTGCTGTGGGAACAAATTTTTTTAATCAAAATAAGTAAACATTCTTTTAAAAATAAAAAATAATTTATATGGCCTAAAGTTACCACTTACTTCTTTGGATGAAAATAAGTTGGGCTGAATGCTGATATGGCTGGCAATTACGAGTATTGCTATTGTTTTGCTGTTTAGCATATGTCATAAAGCTTCTGCCACCTAAGTTAATTAATAACTCTATTTTGGTTTTACATCATGCGTTTTACACAGTTTTGGCTTATTAGTTAAGTTGAAATTGGTGTCATTTTGTAATATTTTCTGCAGAAGAAACAGCATACAGTGACTCGAGAAAAGAAAGAGATAGATCTGATAGCCCGCGGTCGTCATGATCCTTGTGTTGTCCCTCGAGGTATTTCTTTGGACAATACTTTTCCTTTGTTTCCTTCTCATCTTTTTAAGATTACTTTTTTTATTTTTATAATTCTTTCTACAATCTCCTATTTACAATCCTTTGCTACTGTCATTTCTCAAAGACCGCTTGATTCCTTGAGAACTATGTTGAACGTCTTAAATCCATTACAAAATTGTATCAAGCATATTTTATCTTCACCCACTTTTTTCATATCTTCTTGCCCTAAACTTCCAAACAATATCTCACTACTAATTGTGATCGTCTTTGGTTTGATTTGGGTGATGCAGCGGTGCCAATGGTTGAAGCCATGGTAGCATTGGTGCTTGTGGACCAATTGATGGCACAATATGCACAATGTAATTTGTTCCCTATCAATCCAGAGTTACAAGAACCCTTGAGCTTGAATTTCCCTAAGTTTGAGCCGGCAAATATATAGACTTGGACGGTGGCAAAGTCGCGGTAACATCACCATTGTTCTCACCTCGAATTTTCTTAATAACAAGTGTTGAATACTCCATATTGCATAAGAATGTTCTGGTTTTTATCCACCTAGAAGGTCAAGAGTTCATTGCCATCCCTTTTTTGCCCTACTTTATGGTTGCGTGTTTTTCTTTTTAGCTTGTAAACAACTTAAACATTAATAAATGATTGTTGAAGTTCGAATATGCTCTAAGCATGTAGGAAAGTAATTTTTCACAAATTCGTTAGATCTTGTATAGATAAACTTCTTTGGATCGGTTGGAGGAAACTTGTTAGGTTTTTTCATTTTCCCTCTATTCGTGTTCTTCCCGTTTAATTCTCCTCTAAAATTTTTCTTTCGTCCAAGATTTTCATGAATCAAACTGTCCCATCATATGCTTGTGAAAATTTCTCTAATTAGTATAATGAATAAAGATTACTAATCTATGCATGTACGGTAATTTTTAAAATTTCATGAACGAGGTTAAAGAGTTATTATATATTTTTAATGAGTTAATTTATTAATTTTTAAAAATATATTTTAATGAAACACGTTACTTTTTTTAAAAATTCTTAATCTATCTTTAAAATCTTTTTTATTTTATTATATACTTGATTGAAAAAGATATCAATTTGAACTTGTAATTTTTTAGTGTTAACATATCAATTGATTTAAGGAATAGCATGTTTATATCAATTTTTTTTTTAATTTCGCTATAAATGTAGAGTTTAAAAAAATTTTACCGTCGGTAAACGTATAATTTTTTAATATATAAGTTCTATAACTTCTCATCTGCTATTTGAAGACAAAGGTGAGAAAACAAAAGTTGATTAATGAAATTATTGAACTTTTGGTTACCAAAATTAAAAATATTTACATTAACAGTTATATTTGAAAATTATTTTTATATATTTTTTCTTTCATAACAATGTTGTTGTAATTTATCAACAACCGTATATGACAGATATTCATATTTGAACTGTTTCAAATATAAAAAATTTATTGGAATTTTCAAAAACACATTAATAAAATTTGGGTTAACAGTGTTTTTTTTTTTTGTCTTTTAGAATTGAATTGTTAAATCGTGTCGTTGATTTGGAGTACAGAAACGACTACACATTTTTCAACCGGCTTTCTGTATGTCTTCAACCTAAACAGTAACAATCTTTTTAGTTTCATTTTCAATCCAGGAAAATAAGAGCAGTCAAGTCAGTCAGGTATTTGAACATTTTGTCAAAATTTTTACTTTATTCTCTGAAGTGTAGCGGTCAAATTTAGGTTACAGCCAAATCCTTCGTCACCCTCGTAATTAAAGATGTAATTGAATTAAATTGAATCGATATACTAGTTTGATAACTCGATATTCTAATTCTTTATTTCGAATTTATTTGTGATGAATTTATTATTATGAGCCGTTCCAATTGAATTGATTAATATGTAAAAATTAAATTCGATTCGTATAACTCGATAAAAATTTGATTATTTATGTTCGAACTCGAACTTGAAATATTTTATTAATTAAAATAATAAAAATATATTTAAATATAAAAATTCGATTAGACTCGCGAGTTACTTGAATCAGATATAAGAATACTCGAATTCGATTCGATCGATAAGTCGAGTTACTTGAGCTCAAGTTCGACTCGATAATAATCAAATCGAATTTAAGTTTTCTTTAAATCGAACCCAAATAACTTATTAGTATTAATGTATCATTTATATCTCTACTCGCAACAAATAATAACTTTGCTTAAGGCTTTGTATTTAAAATTAGGGTCAATGAAAATAATATATATATATATATATATATATAATTTATTTTTTTGACAGATGGATATTACCATGTCAGCTTCATTTTTATCACCTTTAAATTTTTTTAATTGTCATGTCAGTTTTTTTTTTAACATGTTATCATATTTATTTAACAGTATTTAATTTAATGTTAATCTATATTTTGATTATTTATAAACTTAAACATTATTGAATTCCATAAACTCAATCAATTAATTGTAAATAAATATATTTTGTGTTTCATGTCATTTAAAATTTTAAGTTTAGATTCATATTTATTTATTAATCAAATTCAAATGAATAAATTTAATTTTTCATAAATTTAATCATTTATAAATTTATGATATTCATGAATTCAATTAATTATGAATAAATAATTTAAGTTTAACATAACTATTAAATAATATAAATACATATAAATTAAAAAATACTGATGATAGCTTATTTGATTCAATAACACAAGTTACATTATTTTCAGATATTTCTTAAAAAATCTCTAATAAAAAAATAATGAATAAGGTAAACTATAATTCAATAATATACAAACAATTTTCTTATTATAATACTTATTTAAATATAATATTTTATATTATCAATTTAAAATTTATGATTTATTGTTATACTTTAATTTTTTTTATATTTTTAATGTTAAAATAATTTTTAAAAAGCACTTGCTATATACACAGAGGTAATAGTCAATGAAAGCATATAGAGTTCTTCCTTCCAATTAGAGATTAGTTCAACTGATAAAAGAGAAAAATTCACTTTGAAAAGTTTCCTTTCTTTTTTGTTAATTCAGATTTAATCTCTTAGAAAGCATTTTAAAAATAAAATTCTAAATTTATCAACTAATGCAAAAAAATATTTTTTATAATCACCGAAAACATGATTAAATCCAAACAAAATTTGAAAGAACTTTTGACGGCATTAAAAAATATATATATATATATATATATATATATATATTACTCAGCAATTGCAGTCAATCAAGCAAGGAGTTGGATCAGCATTAACTACAATTTGTGGGTGAAGTCAAACCTATAACTTGTAGCCTTATACCTAACTTTTACTTTAATGTTAACATTATTTTATAATATAGCCAATGTTATTTTCGAAATTTATTTACATTTATTTTTTTAATGATGCATATTGAATAATTTAAAACACAATAAGATAATATGGTATAAAAATAATATAAATAAAAATATAAAGATAATATAATTTAAAATTTTAATAAAAATTATAAATAAATTTTATAAAATAAAAAAATATTTTATATTTTTTTATCGATATAAATTATAATATATAATTTTCATATAAAATATAATATGAATATAAAATTTATACGGCATAATCAGTTAAATTTTCTTACAAGTAAGTTTAGTCAGATTTTATCTTTAAAAAGCTTCTTACAAAAATCAAACGTTAATTGACAAAAAAAAAAAGAAAACTTTTTTCCTTGTCAATTGAACTAACTTTTGTGATACTTTTACACCAATTTTATATATCTTATATGATGTCGTTGCCAATATGACCTATGGTTCCATAAAATTGTGACAAAAAATAAACAAGAAAAGAAAAAAAATTGATTCAATAGAGTTAGGTTTTTCTTGTTAAGATTAGGTTAACATGCACAGCAAATTTCAACTGTCAATTTTCCTACCTTCATAAACAAAATGATGATGATAAATGGGTTCCTTCCCAAAAAAAAAAAAGCTGTATATTAGCAAATTAACTGTTCTAATCATCTATATATAGTGTTTGACAGATAATTTTCACATCACTTTCTGCAATTTTCTTTCATGGAGTTAATGAAAGAAGAATATGAACATAAAACCTACGTCCACAGCTCATTAGTCACTGTTTATGAACCAAAAATTAGGGAAACTTTTTGTCATATATATATATATATATTCATAATTGATGTAAGGATTAGACTATATTTGGTGATAAAGCTTTGCAAATAATTTAGCATAATCTTATTTGTATTAACTATCTATGATTATGAAAAAGAGGTTTTGAAGCAATATCAATTTCATTGGATAGAAGATACATACACTTATTATTGAGTTAAATATTCAGGTTTTTATGAAAAAAATTCAAATTGACACCAACTTCTTCGAGTAGAAGATATATATACACATAATTGAAACAAATATTCAAATTTAAGCTCAATTAGCACGAGAGTATATTTATTTATTATTTCGAGTTTGCTTTGGCATTGTAAGAAGGTAATTTTTTGTATCAATATGAAAAAAAGGATGTATTGGTGAAATCTAATTAGTGCTAAAAAAAAATTTTAGGAAAGAGTTAGCAAATAAGGCTTTTTTTTTTAAACTATAACTAACCTTTTCATGTTTTAATCATGCATATAACAATAAATCATGAAATTATTTTTAATTAAAATTTCTTTAAGTTTGTCAATAAGTTCTATTAGTCTTTATCTGCAAAAAGATTGAGCCATAACTTTAAAGAAAACATATTAATATATAATTAACATAACATTGTCTCGTTAAGATTTTTTTTTTAACAAAGAAGTTACAATTTGTGTATATATAAGGAAAAAATTATAAATATTAAAACTTGAATCATATATATGCTAATATTATTTTTTTAAAAGTGATTGTATGAATCTAACTATTTTAATTCCTAATTTATCTTAGATACTTTAAACATAATGTGGACATCAAATTTGTCTGACAAAAAAAAACATTATTAAATACAAAATAAATAAAAAAACCAAAATACAAGATACCAAAAAAAAAATAAAACAAAAAAAAAAAGATCGGTGGCAATGAGGCCTGGCGCGACACCGCTTGCCACCTTACCTCACCCCTCTGTGCACCTATACCATCGGTCACCTTACCCTACCACTCATACCACTACCCTTGCTCAGTTGGATAAAACAGAAAAAATAATAGGGCATGGGGCTTATGTTTACACCTCATGTTGAGCCTTATGCCTTTCCCTCAAGCACACGCATGATCGAAGCTCTATAAATAGAGCTTTTTAACCAAACCCTTGAAGGGGAAAAAATAGACGAGAAGAGATTCTGCAAAAAAAAAAACATAAAAGAAAACTCAATCCTTCCCGCAGAGAGAACCCAGCGCCAAGAGCTCCTACACAAAGAAAAAACAAAATAAAGTCAGTTTCAACAAAAAATAAAAAACCAAAATACCAAAAAAAAATCGTTTCATCAAAACTTCAAGAGTAGATCTAGGGAATTGGAGATTCTTTTTGGTGAAAAGAAGGTCAGATAGATATTCAGGAGGTCGAGAGAAGTTTGTGGGTGTTTTGTAAAATTTTTTGACACCGACGACGGCGTCGGAGCTCGTCGCAAGAGAGGATCACGGCGGCCGTCGTGACTGGCGGCCACCGGCTCTAGGTCGACTTGAAAAAAAAAGTTGAAAGAGAGTTTTTTTTTCTAGAGAGGGGAGAATGATCGAATTTTTTTTTTTTTTTGCTTTTATATAAGCTATCAATAGCCAAAATGACGTCTTTCCAATAAAC